AATGGCCTATTTACCACCCTGGTTATCTATGTTTATCAACTCGAGATATTTATATTTAAGATCTAAATCAGATACGGTAGTAGTAGTAGTAGTAGTAGTAGTAGTAGTAGTGTAGTAGTAGTAGTAGTAGGAGTGGTTATATATATATATAGTAACATTACTGTATTGGAAATTGTTTTTCTGAAAACATGCCACCCCAAAATCACATAGTTGATCGTCATTGCTTTGTTCCATAAATAGTTTCGGGTTTACATTCCGTTTCCAGACAACTCACTTCTACTTCCCAGTACTACTGTGTAATACTAAGCTTGCAAAAAATCCTTCCCAGTACTACTTTGTACTACAAAGCTTGCACAAACCACTTCCCAGTACTACTTTGTACTACAAAGCTTGCACAAACTACTTCCCAGTACTACTGTGTACTACAAAGCTTGCACAAACCACTTGCCAGTACTACTTTGTACTACAAAGCTTGCACAAACCTCTTCCCAGTACTACTGTGTACTACAAAGCTTGCACAAACTACTTCCCAGTACTACTGTGTACTACAAAGCTTGCACAAACCTCTTCCCAGTACTACTGTGTACTACAAAGCTTGCACAAACTACTTCCCAGTACTACTGTGTACTACAAAGCTTGCACAAACTACTTCCCAGTACTACTGTGTACTACAGAGCTTGCACAAAGCACTTCCCAGTACGTTGTCGCAGCAATTCAGAAAAGGAGGAAATAAGTGCCTACAAATGAAGACCCTATCTATTGTAAACGTCACGCGAGCCAGATATGCCACATGAAATGCAAAGTAAACTAAATTAGTATTCGGATATCATTTTGCGCTAAACCCCTGGGAAGCGCAAGAAGGCGCAAGGGCGAGCGCAAGATGGATAAAGTAACGCAAGAAACTACTTAGGTTTAGAACAGCCCCCATATCCGTAAACATTGACTGGTACCAGAACTACGTAGCATTGTGTCGCACATCGTCACTTTGATTCAAATTCCGGATTTTGTTTGCTTCGGGCTTTGTGCCATGGGTCAGCATTCTTCGCGCCCTCCTGTGGACTCTTTGCAGAGATCTGGAGGTGCGCCATGGTGCGCTTTTTAGTCATGCCATGCTCATAGGGCCTCAGGATGGGAACATCAGCAATATGACGCCAAAAGGTGCAGTAATATCCAGCAATTAATTAAATATTATAGTACTTATATGTAATTATTACTAGACCGCATTGTCCCAACAACATGCTGATTAGTTGCGGATGAAAATATCGCATAGCTAGCTTTGAGAATATGAATGGTTCTGATCACATTGGGTCAGATCCGGGCATTTCTGGTAGTTCCATGACGTGCAGCAAATACAGCTAGAATATGACATCATGCAGTTTTACAATAAAATCGTCAATAGCCTTGGAGTCTCCATGGTAACTTATTATTGTCTGTCTGGAGACGGCTTGGAACATCTTGGAAAATCTTGGAACCTTAAGTTGGTGCTATGTTGGTGACCGTTGGTGCTTAGTAAGTTTAGGTCTCAACGTTGACGGTGCGCAAGAAGTCGGTAGAAAGTGTGGTGTTTTCGCATGGTGACCTCCAGGATCGGACCCCATCACCGGCTTTTTGCTACGGCAGAAGCGGTTACGGCGCTGGGACTGGCAAAAGGTGTGCTTGTAGCATTTTACGCACATTTGATTGATTTTCTATTATTTTTATTTATCATATTTTATCACCATTGTTGCTTTTGGCTTTTTCAGGATGGAACTCGTTCTTCACCAAAGACCTGAACAACTGACTTCTCTTGCTATTGACTTCTTGGGGGTTGAACAGAGTGGATCCGGGCATCAAATAGCTTGCACATGCTAAGCATAAGTGGGTTCTTGCAGGTTGAGATTTCTTGCTCCAACTTTTGGGAATGAAGGGTTAGATTTCGTTGCGAACAACTTTGACATGTTCCGCCCAGTTGCAGGTCGTGGCAGATGGTGATACACTGCTGATTTTCTCGTGGCCTCGTGGTCGACAGTTGGAGACGCTGCATTTATCAGAGATTGCGGAGGCCTTCTGGCTGCGCAACAGTCTAGGGATATCAAGGAATGCTATACCACTACACAAAGGGGCGTAGCGTTTGTCATTTCCAAACCCACAGCCTTCGAAACGCAGACCGATCAGAACCTGTTCAGTGGTGACAGTGTTGAAACTGCAAGGTTGATACTCTCTTGCTGGTAGCTCCAGGGGTGATGCCCTCAGTGGGCTTGGTGCGGCCAAGTGAAACGGAGATGCGAGTTGGATTGCTGGATGTTATATAATGTTAAATGATATTGACCATCAGTCTAGATGTATATTAAACGGGTAGCATTGGCTTAAGTCTAAGTTGGTTCAAGCGTGGAAATGTGTTGGACCAGGGCAGACAGACATGTGTCACTCTCTAATATTAATATATTAAGATACTGTTTGCAGCTGTAATTGTTCATGGTTTTGTAAGTATGTGTTTGTAAGCTTTTGCTGCTGGGGTGAATTTGGATGAGTTTGGTGTGTTCTGAACAGCTCTGGCATCCCTTTTCGGAGTTTCCTCACAGCGGGGAACCATTGTCGAGGAGTTGTTGCACAAAACCACTTCCGGCATGCGAGTAATTACGGCACAATGAAAATCTTCAGTCAACTTCAATGTGAACCTCTGAATTGCCTCATGTTGCATGAAATTGCAAATTTGCGTGTTTTCTTCATTTTTCTTCCTCAAGTTTCAGGTCTCTTGCCAGTCTTGCCATGCTTGTGTGAGGCCCTGGTGGTACCGCTAGGCTTTCGTCGCGGTGCACCGAGCAATGCCACTGGCTGCGGCAGTGGGATCGCTCCACATGATGCTGCATTTGCTTTGAGGCTACAGGATGGCAAGGAGAGGGCCTGAGGGGCTCTGTGAGACAGCTATGCGCGGCGTGTTTGAGTCTGAGACCGTGTATGTATACTTTTCCTAAGAGTTCCTGGCTTTTTGGATCTTTCTAGCAGGCACCGTGCGTAGGGTTTTGTTCCAGTATTCATCACTATTCCATATTATTCCTCTTCTCTTTTGGCAAAGCTGAGATGAAAGTTTCGGCTTGGGCTTCAGCTTCGGATGTCTCCCGCCGTGCAATGAAACAGCCCCTGCAGGAAGTGGTGTTTTGTGCTGAAACTGCGGAACAGAGAAGTGCCTGGATGAATCCTGCCTTTCAACGCTCCTCAAAAGGGGATATTTTGGGCCAAAAAGCATCAAAAAGCCACAAGAGAACTGAGAGGATTTCTGAGAGGATGCTGAGGACAAGTGTTTGCAGAAAGAATAAACAGTCGGGTCGGCTTACTGTAATTGATCACTCAGTCAGTCAGGACTCCGGTTTTGAAATTTACCGAGGAAAGCATTGGAAGACTGGCGCTCACAGCCGGCACAAACTGCAGAAGGCTGCTGCCGGCATTGGTCTAATTGGTGTTAGTTGCTCACAAGTTTCTGTGTTATATACAGTAACTTGTTACAATCGGGATACTTTCAGAACCTTTAGGTCACATCACATGCCAGTCATGTCGTAGGCCCATTGCCAAGCCTCCCAGTTCCAGTACAAACTGAGACTCCTCCGGAAGGAGGCTCGAGCTGACTTTGTTGGATAGGTGGGCATACCATTTGGTAGGGAAAACTGAGAAAGCACACTCAACAGCGTTGCGCGTTGGAATTCAAACGTGCTCGCCCTTGCCATGATCATGCCATGATCAAACAAAGCACAACTATGAAACAGTAGGCGTTTGAGACAGTTTCATCGGCTAAAGGGAAAGGTTTGATATTATTCTGCAGCTCAAGAGATTTTGATTTTGAGCAGAGATCGAGATACTGAGTTACTGACAATGATGATGAATGATGAAAATCGCTGCTCGATAAGAAGCACTACGGCCAGGCAAGGGCAAAAGCAAAGGATGCAAAGGGAAAGGCCCACCACTCCCTGCAGCAAAGTCTACTCTGAAGGCCAAGTCTGCAGATGAAAAACACGTGCACGCAAGACCTATACAAAAGCGTCGTCGGGACGTCTCAGGATTCTGAGGCCTTGACTTGACATTTCTTGTTGCACGACCTTGTCCCTTGCCCACCTAGATTATGTCCGTGACGGGCCGTGGCTTTCCTTAAATTGTGATCGTGATCTAATATAGCACTATAGTCAATTTTAGTTTCACAAAGTCATGCCGAAGTTTTGTGTTCAAGCTTTTTCAAGCTTTAGTATCTTCAGTTCCTGGTTCCATGATGAATGTGCTTCCGTGCTTCGTCGAGCTTGGCCGGCTGGACGTGCCGGCTGGGCAAGGCCGAGCTTCAACTCGTTTTCCAAGGGCTCAGCGAGCCCAGCAAGCTCAGCGAGCACACGCTCAGTCAACTAGCACTGGCATCGCCGGCGCAGTTTTGGGGGGCCTGGCTATTAGAAGCTTTGGCAATCGGAGACCCTTGCGTAGCCTTCCCAAGCTGACTGCCCGAGTTTCAATCCTTGATATTCCAGACATTCCAACGGAAGTGGATGGAGATTCATGCACGCCCCCCTGGAAATCGACGGGCGCGGCTGAGATTGCAGATGAGGTGCTGGAAGGAGCAGGTGGAGCAGATTACGTCATGAATTTGGAAGGAAAAAAAGTTCGCGGATGCCTCAAAGGAGCCAAGCAAGTTGCAACGCTCGGGCCAGCATCAGCTAGTGATGAAATGCTGGAGCGCCTTTTCCTGAGTGGCGTGGACACTTTCCGCTTAAACTTTTCTCATGGCGATCATGAAGAGAAGACAGACCTGATCAAGCGCATTCGGAGGGTGGAAACCAAGTATCGCCATCCCATCGGGATTTTAGCAGACATGCAAGGACCCAAGCTACTAAGCGAGAATATGGTTAATTAGAGACCGTTATGTAGTTATGTACTGTACTGATCTGTACTGCATATATAGAATCTGTTTGTATGTGTTTTTGTTTTTTGTTGCTGTTGCGCTTTGCTTATGTTAGCGTGCTTTCTTTCCGAATTGAGAGCTTGAGGGCAAAGGTGTTGCTGGCTGCTTTGCTGTGCTGAGGCAAAGATGCGGAAAGTTTGCAGACCCCAATGGCGTCGAGCTGCTCAAAGGACAAATGTCTCTGGGCAGAGATGGGATAAGATCGGACGTATAACATATTTTCTGGGCTTTGTGGAATTGATGATTATGAGTTGGGCATAGTTGAGCACTGTTGAGCCATGGATATCCGACATGAAGTTGATGAGCCACCATTTGTTTCTCGTAGCCGCTTAGCCACAGTTGATAAGCCCATGTAGTTTCCACAGGATGACAAGGGGTAACTTTTTGGAACATTATGCCATTGGGCTTCTGAAACGTGCATTTATACCATGATCCAGCAGCATGCTGAACATTCCCAGCTGAAATTGTAGTCAGAATCCCATTTCCCAACGGATGAAGAGAGGGAGAGAATTCCAGGTTTCTGTGCAGGGTCAACTACTGGCATCACAATGCAAAAAGAGAAAGAACAGCGAAAGGTTTTACATGGTTTTACAGTATCATATCTAAGAGAAGGCGTAATAGGCGCAGATTGCAGTGCGGCTCTTCAGACTTTGGGTTGTTTTTTTTCTCCAAGGTTCCGCTTTGACATGCTGCCAGATTTGGGAGATGTCAATCGAGTGCAGTTGCCACATCCCGAGATTTTGGAAGCATTGAAGCCTGGCAAACAGTTGTTGCCTGGCAGAAACTGTGGACGAGCAGATGAATTGATGCTGGCTCGTGGTACCACAATGCTTCCTTAAAAATGCCTAAGAGCTCCAGACGCCACCAATACTGTACAATACTGTACAGTATATGATATGTTCCTATGATGTTTTGCTTTGCATGCTTTTGCCTCCAGATCTTGGTTTCCGCATCCAGTGCATCACTTAGTTGGTGATTTCAGAACAAAAACTGTGCGGCTGGGCAGCGAGGCTGTTGGATGACGGAAACATCCGCATGGAGATTGTTGGGTGCGGCCGCTTGCTTGACGGCAAGGAGGTTCCCGTGGAAGAAGCAAAGGAGTCAAAGGCCGCGGCATCACTCCTGTCCCAAATTGTGACAATTGTGTGTAATTATGCATCGAATCATTGTATATCATATAGTGATTACTCACGTTGGCCAAACATTATGTACGGGTCAATTGAATCTTTGTTTGTGATAATTAATTGCGCAAAGAAACAACTAAAGGACAAGACAAAGAAGTGGCCCCATGGATAAATAGCAAGATATGGATGATATGGTTGATATGTATAGACAAATGAGCATTGATGCATGGAAGCAATCAGTATGGTGGGCAAAGGGTTTGATTTTCCCTGTGAACTTCCGATTCTTTTGCAGTCGCCAGGAAGCAACTCCTTTTGTGGACTGCAAGGTCACTGTTGCAGGCCGGTTGAAGGCCAACAAAGGTGTGAACACTCCAGATGTCATCTTGGCCATGTCTCCAATCACTGAGAAGGACGGGAACTCGGGAACCTACACTGTCTACACTACACTCACTCGGATCGCTGCAATTTTGTGCAGACAGGCTTAAACTGTCATGACAACTCTATACTGTACTGAGTTTCTTTGTTCTGACCAGAGGGGCAGCTGGAGACATAGATAGTTTTGGGTGCCGCTAGCCATTCCATGGCTTCTAAAATCAAGCAGTGTGATATAGGCCTATAGGCCGCTAATATCTCTTTGCAGGATGAACTTGTTAGCGCGACATATCGGACCTGCCCATCAAAGCCTTGGATTCTTCACATCCATGACTGACACTGCCACTCCATGCGGCCGGGATATTCTATTAAGATCTATTAAGGGGTCAGTTCTTGTGCACAGTTTGGGAGAGAGAAGCAGGAGAGCAATAAAGAGAGCTAGAAGAGACGGGAACAAAGAGGAATTGAGCAAAGGAAGGAAGGACAGATAATTAGCAGGAAACAAGAAGGAAGCAAGAGAGAGAGAGAGAGAGACAGAGAGATAGAGAGAGAGAACGTTTTCCTGGAGGTCCTTGCAGTGGTTCCTATTATCTTTTCTTAACAATTCTGATGTTTTCTGATGTTCTTTGATGTTCTTTGTCCAGGACAAAAAGGACATTGAATTTGCCTGCAGGGCAGGCGTGGATTGGATCGCCATGTCCTTCGTCCAGACCAGCGATGATATGAAGGAACTCCGACAACGAGTCCTCAACTTGGGTTTCAGGGAGATGCTTATCCTGCACTTGGAACCTCCACGGTGCTTCAGCATTATGGCTGAACTGTACTGTATATTTAATGAAGGATATTTAAAGTCTAGCAAACGCTAAAGCTTCTAAAGTGTCTTAAAACTGTCTTAAATACATCTCCAAGATGCAGATCAGAAGCAAAACACCCGGCAGTACAGCAAGAGATAGCAGGAGGACCTGGTACTAGGGCTTCAGGCTCTGAAAGTAACGCTTCGAGGTTACATTTGCATATATTTGCAGTGTGCACGCCCCATGTCGTTTTGCAGTGTGTTGCGGTCGCTTTTTGTGCTCGACATTGATGCTTTTGACCTAGTCCAAGAAGGAGATGATAGAGAATTATATACTCACTCTCGGTGGACTGAGATCAAAAAGACATCAACAGGCTTTTGGAACGGGGAGAGTGCGCAGTGATGTCAAGCCAAGGATCAAATTGCTTGCAAAGATCGAAAAACCTTCAGCAGTTGAAGATATTGAAGGCAGCAGCGTGTGACAGCTTGTGCTGTGGAATAGGCACATGTAAAGGAGCTCTATATGTCATGCTATCAAGGTGGAGGGATGATATTTTTGTGTCGTGCTCCTGTCCAGAATGCATCGAGATTGTGGAAACTTGAGATGCCCACTGAAGAGCATACGCTTGACCCTATTCAAGACAAAAGGCTAGCTAAGCTATATCTGTCTGATTCAACTTCAGTAAGGCATGAATGGTGAATATGGTGACTTGAAAGCGAGGAAGTGTTAGCAACCATGGCCACTTGTTGCCCTCCTTTCAGACACATTGCCACAGATGCCAAGCGATCGCCCGATGCCAGGCATCCTCGAAGCATCTGACGGTGTGATGGTGGCACGCGGTGACTTAGGGGTGGAGATGCCGCCTGAAGAGGTCGGGCACTCAATGTGTAGATGTAGATAAAGAAACTGCGGAAGATCAAGGTACTTATCTACACAGTTGGTTGTGCTAGGAACTGCTGGGAGTCTTGAATATTGATGAATCTTATTTGTTTGCAGCAGGTTTCGGCATGTTTCAGCTGTGTATTGAGTTGTGGAGAGTGGGCAGAGTGATGCTGGGAGTCAAGTCACTTTTGGATGAGTCCTGCCTGTTTTGCAGGTCCCATTCGTTCAGAAGCAGATCATTCGTGCGGCGAATGTGGCTGAGCGAAATTGCTAAGTCATGCCAAGCCACTGTCACCTGTCAACTATTCAAGATTTCCATAGAGGATTAGCTACAGGCCATGTAACACATGTGCAGCAAATGCATCACACGACAAGCAATTCGCATCAATTTGATCACAAGTTTTCAGAACTGCTGTGGCCATCTGTGGCCAAGATTGGCCAAGGAGCATGGAAAGCCTGTGATTGTTGCCACGCAGATGTTGGAGAGCATGATCAAGAATCCAACACCGACGCGGGCAGCAGCTTGGATGCAGAATTCAGGGTGTCTTGCATGCCAACGCATGCCAACGCTTTCACGGCCATTTTATAGAGCCACCATCATACATGTGTTCTTTTTATGTGTTGAACCATTCTGTGGATGTGAAGGTTTATAAACGCTCACATCCTTGTTCTGCTAACTTGCGTCAATAACGAATCAATTTTCACTTCCTGTAGACGCAAGTCCATGAGATGTCAGATGTAGGGAGTTGCACGGTTGCACATGCTTGGCCTGAGGAATGCAGCGACATTGCCAATGCCATTTTGGATGGATGCGATGCTGTAATGCTAAGCGGTGAATCTGCTGTAGGAGAGTCCCTAGGCAAGAGGCCAGCCAGGGGCTGTCAGTTACTTTCTTTACAGCTGCAACATGTTGGCACCAACATGGCAAGTTTGACTTGAGTCACATTCTTGTGGCCGAATCAGACTTGGTGCTATGCTTTGCATCAGGACAACAATAGTCGAAAAGAACAGGGTATATGACAGTCTCAAAGTTCCCTGCAAGGAGAGGGATAGGTTCTGTGTATGTTCTCTCAAACGCTGCCTTTACTTTTTGTAGCGATATCCTTTTGTACTCCCAGAAAACTGGCCAGACTTGTACAGAGAAGTTTGTTGCCAGAAAAGATTGTAGAATATTTTAAAAGGGCTCAATTTGAATTCTGTTCAAGCCACAGCCACCCACCCGCAAACGGTGCCCCATTAAGGTATCCAGCACAAGCAGTGACAATGCAAAGACGAGTCATTGAACGAACCCAGGCACACGTCGCGGGCGCTGAATGTTTTTTTGAACTTGACGCTGATTGACGCTTGAGCAGACAGCACTTGGCTGTTTCATGCTTTAAGAACCTTTGATTTTCATAGCTATTGGATGAGCTTCCTTAAAAAGAGTTGAAAAGAGGTTTCACAGTCTCGAAGCCATCCTTCGAGCCATCTTGCTGCATTCTCACCGTCTCACCGCATGCCCGAAGAAGCCATTTCGCGGCACCCGGATCCCCAACCAAAGTGTTTGCCAGGCGAATGGAGCCGTGGTTGAAAAGCATGTGGATACAGACACAGAGGATGACACGCAGAACATTCTGGCCACAGCTGCTGCGCTTGCCAAGGCTAGGGTCTACTCGAAATTATTTGATTTGCTTCTGGTGATATGATCTGATATGATGATGTTTGATAATTTTTGATAATGTTTGGTGACCGCCTATATAGATGTTACATGGATGCCGTTCAGCACTGTTCCCACGTGGCTGCCGGGGATCCTGGGCAGGGGAAGAAGGTGGCTGCCATTGTCGTTTTCACTGCCACTGGTAAAACCGCTCAGCTCCTGGCCAACCAGAGGCGCGATCATTCCGGGAGCCAGGTGCATTCGGCAACAAATATCAGATGTCAACAGATATCAATACTGCGTAGATGTCAATAGATATCAATGGAACATGAATTATCGATATAATATAGATATAATTGATATAGAATTCTAGATCTATATCATTCTATATCTATGATATATATATATAGAGATAGATATTTATATGATATTATAATTTAGTTTTTCATTGCATTTAAAATTTATATGATTATATATATATATATATACATTATACATCATTATACAATGTATATATGGTCATCACTGATATCATTATTAACTACTATCTCATATCACTTCAGAGTGTCGAAAGACTCAAAAGCTCTAAGCCTCTCGTAGTAGTATTGATTTGTGTTGTACTAAGGTAGTCAATGGATGGCCGGTACTAGAGCTGCAATGAACCATGATTACATCATTATGCAAATGCTGTTATTAATGAGGGTACATCGAGACTGAGCAGTGATCACCTATATATTTTCAAATCCTCTTAATTTTATGCTTCCGTGCAAGTGCTGAAATTCACATTGTCCCCGAGTTGTCTCCATAGTGGCAGACTCGATTCACTCGATGCTGCTGGAAATGTTGAGGCCGAGAGTACCAATTTTGGCCATTTGCAAGTGCCTTGAGGCTGCTATGGGAGAGCGGATGTTGATGTGATTGTTCATGTTTCCGCCTGTTATATATTTCATTTTAAGATATTATTAAGATTTGTAATCACATATGTCACATGTGATATATTTATATATATCTATATATATGTAATATTATGTGTTGCATGTTGTTCCCAAAACCACGCGCCTCCACGATTCCAGTGCCATTTCAGGTCGCCAGGCGCATCTCATTGCTCCGTGGAGTCTACGGCACCAGCAACCTGGCGAAATTGCCCAGTGGGGGATGTACATCACTGGGATTTCCGTAGGGCTTTCTATGCCTATGTTTCCAATGATTGGATGACCATCAATGCCATAAACATCCATAAACCATGGACATGCATATGCCATGGTTTTTTGACCCTAGAACTTCTATGATGATGACTGTTGACTAGTAATTATCTTGCTCCATTGCTTTCTCAAATGAATAAATAAACATAAATAAACAATAAATCAATATAGTTATCAATAAATATATATATTTATATATACATATGCTTGTTCCAAAATAATGTCACGACCCTGAAATGGTGCCGCATGGTCTTGATTCCCAGAATGGTTTCATGTATCTTTTTGAGGAGGATTTTCCTGAGGACTTTTCTTTTGTCCATTTGTCCACAAAATCTGAGCATTCTTTAAAATTCTTTACTACTTTACTACAGCTGTTGTATCCTATGCGGCGCCGCTCCCAACGAATCCTTTTAACGCCAAGGCTCTCCCAAAGAAGAAACAGAGACAGAAACAGAAGAAGAGAAGAAGAAGCAGAAGAAGGAATGGAAAAGATAAGAAAAGATAAGAAAAGAAGGAAATAAGTCAAAGCAAGCGAATAAACATAATAAAGAAAGACAGATAGAAAGAACAAAGGACAGGAAAAACGTAAAGGAAAAAGGGCAAGAAAGCAGAAAAGGAGAAAGGAACAACGGAAAGAAAGAAGGCATATTCACATAAAATAAGACTCCTTAGATTCATGACTGAGGAGTGCAGGAGAGGAGAGGGGGCATGAGGGGGCCTTCTCCGAATCAACAGTATCCATCCCTATAGCCATTGTTTCAATGCCCAACATGAAATGGAATGAATAAGTGATTGTGATATCCCCAGTTCTTTGCATCAATGAAAGCTCAGCAGACAGCTGCATCAACAACATTAGCGACATGAAAATGGGGGTTCGCATGAGTCTGGCATGAGTTAACATATTTTAGACTGGCACGTTTGCCATGTGAGCCGCTGAAGCTCAGCACCTAGAGCTCGTACAAAATTACACCATGCTCTTGAGAACTGAATCCTATAGTGATAGTGGAGTGGCAGCTGTAAAACGCAGAAGGCCTTGATCGCAGTTTCATATTTTGGAACACGAGGCGACGCAGACTCGCAACAACTGGTGGCCAGAGTCGAACGAGAGACCAATTCGGCCGGGCAATGGGGGGTGTTGGGATGTGTCGGGAAGGTGCTACCATCGGACTAGTCCACAGGAATCGGGAAGGTGCTACAATTCACTGCTTCTCTCAGTTGCTGGCTGCTGGTCTTGAATTTTCTTTGAGCGGACATGACGGACCTCTTTGACAAACTCTAAAATCTCTAAAGCTCTAGAGTCCAACCCGCGCCTGGACAACATAACCTACATAACCATCGCATTTTACATCAGACAGTCTAAGGATTCCAATTTTTTCGACATCAAGAGAGTGAAGAGAGTGAATGTGCCTTGCAAAATGGTTGCAGGGTGTACATAACATAATATATATATATAGATATAGTATGTACTCGTATACTGTATATTTGAATATATTTGATTGGGCAGGTGCGATTCAGTGAAGCAGTGGAAGTTGCTTGCAGTTTGGCGCGTGAGAAAGGCTTTGTGGACAGCCTTGAGCAGGATGTGGTGACTTGTCACAACAAAGTTCCCCTCACATTTAAATTTCAAGTTTATATAGCCCTCAGCCAAACTCTCGGAGATGGCGATGGAGAGAGAGATTTCCAAACTAACCTAACTAACCTTATTGTGGCAGCCTGCTTTGTGATCCTGGAGCCCTGTTGATCCGTTAAGCCGTTAAGCTAAGGTAGTGGTCTCTCGCTTGCCTCTGTTCAGTCAAGGCCGCTTGAATACCATTCGCATTGTAAAGGCGGAGGGGCTTCAGCGAGATGGCTATGATTCATTTGATCCTGAATACGATTGAGCTCCTTGCGGCGCCTTCCGTAGCCTTTCGGTTTTTTTTGCCATTGTGCGCCAGCCTTTGTGCGAAGATGACTGCATATTGGTTGGTCACGGTTGCGACGGTTGGTCAAATGTGCTGAGTTGGATGTTTTCGGGTCGGACGCGCCTGTCCACCCTTGATTGCTTGATTCGGATACGATCAGTTTGATTTGGAAATGAAGTCACTTGTGAAGTTGCAGCATCATCTGCAATTTCTACATCAATAAGTGTTGCAGTCACTATTAGCCGTGATAGTCCAGAGAATACTCAACGTTTGGTGTGAGGGAAGCATGGTATGCAGTATTGCATTGTCATCACCACATATATTATTTTGTTCGCTACTATTTTTCCAAAATTGTTGATGTCAACCCTATGCAGTTGCAAATGTTGATGGCACATTGATGGCTATAGTTACTAGTTCCGAACAGTTCCAGCCAGAAGGCCCTAAAGTGTGACATGTACGGCTAAGTGTACAGTATGGAAACTGGCCAGGAGAAGGAGATGGGATTCTACGACAATATCCCACCCAATGCGAAAGAGTGGGAACGAATTTGATATTGATAAAATTGATAGATATAAGATGATATAAGATGATATACGCTACATTATAATAGCAGGTTCTGATTTTTGCAGCTCCATTTCCATGGGCTATGTCACACCCAATGTTACGTGATGTTACGTGCTAGATGCTTGTTGATGCTGAGCCTCTTGCCAGAAAGTCCTTGTCAGATTGTTGGGCTGGGCACTTTGCCAATGAGCAGATGGATGATGGTCACATTGCTGGTTACGTCCCTGTAACATCCTGTAACCATGCTGAGCCACAGTCGGTGGACATCTTGGATTTGCCATTGGCACGGATTGATTGGAATCTGTGGCAATTAGCCAGCTACAGATTCAGCTTGGCGTTTGTCCGACACATTTTTTTGCCGAGCTGCAAAATGTGCTTTTGCTTGAGGTTTGACCTTCCCAAAAGAACAGTACTCGTACGGACTTGAGCGCTCGTGATCTTTTATTTATGTTCTTGCACAGGCTGTGCCTAACACCCTAAAATTAAGGAAGCTTGGATTTGTTGGTGTGACTTGCATTTCATAGTTTCATGTATCATTGCTGGGGTGGTGGATTGTTTCGTGATGAACTGGTGACAGACCTATGCCTATGAGTTACAAAGCCCACACATGCCCACACCATTCAAGAGGAAAACCTTGACCAATATGACTTGTCAATCCACTGTGCCACGAGAAGTTTGTTCCTGCCAGGCGAAGGCAAAGCAAGGGCCAAGCCATGCCCCAAAGATCCACGGATTGCTGGCAAGCAGGTATTTTGGCTAATTTTGACCGATTTGGTTAACATTTAAAATCATTTAAATAGATTATACTATAATATATATAATCATGAAGGCTGAAGGATTGCGATTGACATCGATTGACTCCTTGTTGTTGGGCCCTTTTTCACACGATCAATTGCAGCATTTTCAATCATGCTCACACTCTAAACAGTGGAAGGGCGCAAACACGTTCGCCGCAAGATTTGGGAGGTGCTTCGGTCAAGCTTGTTAGGCAGCTGCACATTGGAACCCGAGTATTCAGTTGCCAGCCAAATTGAAACCACACATTAATGATCATTAATGTATTTGAGTAATTGAGTCTTATGTAAAGATGGCTTCATTCAGCAATCATGCTTTCCATTGTCCACTGTTGCATCCGGTGGCTGAATCTCACATGCGCTTGTCTAATGACCATGTCGTTTGTGTGAACATTTGGTCCGTTTCTTGACAGGGATGTTGTCAATACTGTGGCCGAAAAGAACTAAGCACACCCTGTGAATTTGACTGCTTGCTTTGCTGAAATGTTTCGAGCATGGTGGGCTGCCCCACAACTGAGGCAAGCAAAAGTGTCCTGGTCCAATGGGCGGTGCAATGTGTTAATGCAGGGTGCATTCAGAGATATTCAGACTTATTCAGAGTTATCTGGGACGATAAGGGGGAATTCTGCACAAATTTCTCCGGGCATGAAGGTGGGCTGGGCAGGTTTTCCACAGGAGAAGAAATGGTAGGATCAAATTACTGCAACAGATATGATATAATCATATATAATCTATAAGAATGTATACTGTATAAGAAATTAAGAAACATAGAGATATTGCTAGGAGAGGTGACTAGTGACTATAGTGACCGTTGGTTGCTTTGGATTCTTGGTGAACTGTGTAATGAGTGGACCTGCTGAGGATGTTGCAAACACCATTTTCGAAGGTGAGACGGACCTTACGGCTCCGGAGTGTCCTTCTCCCACGGCGAAGGGTTTGGCCACTTGGTGCAACTCTGACCTCTGAGAATCGCTTGACTCAACTTGGTTGGTCTACTCGTACTGCAAAGCGGTTCGGCGATGGAGAAAGACGGTGAGAAAATGTATGCTTTACTGGTGTCCCCATCGATGTTGCTCTTTGACACACAGAAACATCGAGAACATAAGGAATTGTCACGAAGCATACAAACCATTGGAAACCCTGTTCCGAACAGTTCCGCTTGCATTTCAGGCACCTTTGCTGGATCAGTTTGCAGCAAAGCCAGCGGCAGCCGATCCTGCAGCCCCAGCTGGTCAGGGAAAGGGTCCATTGCGACGACATGACGAGCCTCGTTGAAGGATTGGAAAAAGAAAATTGTCACCATATTTTAAGTTTGCCCCAGTGTGTACAAAACTTACACATGGAATGAAGATGTACACATATATGAATAATTATGAATATATGTATATATGACATACTATGGTTTTATTATATACATGGTTTTAGCATGTCTTATGGTTGGACATTATTCACACAAGCCGATTTGCAGTGTGTCATGTTCAAGTCATCGAGGGCCATGTGCTGTCATGCTGCACTTCAGGACCACAAGGCTTAAAGTTCAAGGAACCCAAAACATGTTTACCAATATTGTATCATATTGGCCTTTAATTTACCATTCATGCACGTGGTTTCAACGGTGTATCAAGGGTCCAAGGGAGGAATGACTGCCCAGTGGCTTGTTGGATTTACATGCAAGCTGCAAGCTTCACAACTTCAGGGGTAGAACTGAGGAAGCCCAACCCTAGAACTAGCTAGCAACTAGTTTAGCAAGTAACCCCACCCATCCAAACCCAAGGTTCATGTTCTAGTTCAGCGCCATTCAGCACCACAAGTCCAACCCCAGATCAGTCATGTCTTAGGATGGTGTGCAACTCATCGACCGCCAGTTTGCGCAGAATTTGGCAATTGCCATGGTCATCCTGGCCTATTGATTGATGGTTGACAAGTAATTGATCTATTTAAATACGGAATTTGTATATATATATATATATACTATTATATACTTAGAAGCTATAGAGATGTGCAGTTTTATGTTATTGTATGATGCATACTATACTTTTACCCGTGGTTGAGGTTGGAAAGCGGCGGTATAACGGAAGAGCATCATCAGAACGTGGTTTTCCTGTTCTCCAAAGCAGCTGTGTGACTTTGTTTGCTTGTAGCTAGTTCATTCTTCCCGGAGTGAGAGAGGATGGACTGTTGAATGGCGAAGGCCTGTTTTGTAGCCATCGGTGTTGACTAACAATCTTTGGAGTTCATTTATGAATTTTGTGTGGGGTTTGCTGCCAAACTTCCAATTCGATGCCACACATGATGCGTCAGTGAGTTTCAGCAGTCCAGGTCCGCGTGAAGGTGCAGCATTTGGCAGATGCAGCAGCAAAGATGTCACCAAAATATGCCAGGTTTCGCTTGGCGGGGTGGGTGGAAAAATGTGGCAAAGATTGTGTGGGTATAGAACTTTGGGCGAGATCTTTTCCTGGGACAAAGATTTTTTTCAAAAGCAGCTGTCTTATATACAAAGTTGCCAAAGATGACAAATCATCACATTTGAGTTTAAGATGGCCAATATCCACAATGTATACTGAAAAATGCTACAGCTATAGTGTTATTTGCACGGCATGCCATCGTGTAGCAAAAATGCACATCATGACAGTTTTAGTCGTCCGTGTTTCTATTATGGAAATTCTTTCATAGAATCCATGAGTCTCAGGGATTTTCAATATTATCGCATTTGATGATTCTGGCGGCCTTTTGCCAATCTCCATGGGTTACCTGGCTAAAGAAAACATGCTTTTGACAAGCGTTGTCTTCTTTGCTGAGTGCATGCTGTTCTTCTGTCGGTCGGACCCCATAGATCGCCTGTTGTTGGCCAAGTCGACAGCGCTTGTTCTGTGCGCAGGTTCCAAGACGCACGCGACTGGGACCAAGCTGACAACTTGGTTCAAACCCTGACAAACAAACCAGACCAAGATCCGTTCCTTGGAACTGTGACATGGGCATCCGACGGCTAACCATACTGCCATAGTTACTTCATTGAAGCGACTGAAGGGTTCCTTGTACCGGTAGAGCTCTACAGGGTGTTTCCAGGAAAGCTCAGCTTGACCAGTCAAAGTAGCAGTGACCCTTGCAAGAACATCATCGCATTGGGCTAACACGTGACTTGGAAGAGGAACGGTGCGAATCTGACCCCACCACGTTGAAAACTGAGGTTGGACAAGATCCGGAAATACCTTGAGGAGAGACCGCATGAAGTAGCATCATTCTCTCCAGCTTGGGGTTCAATCCCTTGCTGATGTGTGTTTCGATATTTGACATGATGCATATTGTTGCTGTTCTTTGAAAGAGATGCTTGGCAAAGAATCCTTGCAATGAAAAGTATGTGAACGCGCATGAAGGGAAGCGTGTCGGAGAATTCTTTTCAGAATATGGATGAACCTGGATCAACGGCAACGGACCTCATGCCCAAAACCTTCTGGTGGATCCAGCTTTTGACGTGACTCTTTGGGCTTCTGATCCTAGCAGCACAGCACACTTCCAAGCAGGAGGGCAAAGAACTCTCCAAACTTCGAGACATAGAGCAACGACTGGCACCGCTTGTGGCTTCACTGCACTTAGTTCATTTTATCCCTGAAGTGCCAGATATCCCACAGCCAGCCCTTTTGAGTGACGTCTTTTGTTTGAGGCGCCGATTCCACGTGCAGCTTGGCAATCGGTTGGATATTTGCATGGTCACTAGCACTGATGACTTCATTTTGAGTCAGTTGATCACTTCACGCATACATAGCAGTCTATAATAGTCTATATGATTAGAAATCATGATGATCATGATCGCCAGCGACATTTTGAGTGGACTTTGGATTCGGCTGAATTCGGCAAGGCGCTGGTGCGGTTGCAGCTGATCCTGTTGGCTCACACGCTGGACTCTGATGTCCAAGCTGCCAGGCCATTCCCAAACGATCCCAAACGAGCCACCTGTTTTCCCTTGAGAATCAGAGAAAGCTATCTGGGAAGCATTGGAAATTACATGTAACGTAGTACGCGAAGTATAAGCATCTCAAGATATCTCAAGCAATACTATGGTCACTTATCTACGGTTGGTTGGTGAGGGATAAGTGGATCAATGTTACAGTTCGTGGCACTGGTTGCGTTTGATCTTATTTTATTTTTATTTACCCGATCGGGTTCAGTGAAGAGATTTTTGTGTATTCATTTATTGTGATCACAGAGCGTGGGGTTGATCAACCCCGTTTGAGTCAGTGGCACTGATCAGATCTTGGTGCCATTTTGGCTCAAGATCTGATCAGCGATCTCTTTTGGGAATTGTGGGCCTGGGTGGTCAACCCTTCTACCGGCTCTTTTGCCATGCCGAGCTATCGTGGCGCTCGCGGCTCTGACGGTGGATGGGGCTCACAAGACGATCAGTGGGGCCGAAGTTACGGTAGATCTACCAACAGCGCCCACAATCCCTACGAGGTCAAGATGCCGAGGTTCCTTGTGCCGATCTATGAAGGCCAGAAGTTCCCTGAAGACACCTCGATCGTGGTCGTTGACAACCGCGATGACAGGATGGTGTCGCCTTTTCAGGCTTGGCTTGTTTCAGAGATCATGGCAAACGCTGCCAGCTCCATCAATGTGCTCACGGAGAGAGACCAAGTGATGCCGCCTAGTTCAGGTTTTTCAGTGGCTCTTTTTGCCAACTATACGCTGGACGGGATCAAGGTGGTTTTGGCGCTCTCGCTCGAGAGTGAGACTGGCATCACGTGCGCTGGATGGGATGGGGAGACAGCGTCAGCTCTGTCACACCAGGCTTTTCAGCCTTTCACGTGGCCTATGCTCAGGGACACCTCGGCCAGCTACACAGACTTGAAGATCTACAACGGGAATGAAATCCTGTTCCACTGGATCTTCAGGGGCTTCAGATCGGACACAGATCTGACAGTTCAACAACAGTTCGTTGACGAGTACCTGATCAGAGAAGTGAAGCAGGGCAAGCCGAGGCTCTCGGTGGTGATCGCCGTGTTCATCGGCTACAGGGTGTCAGTTCTGAGTTTTGAGTGCGGTGGTCGCACTTACTCGGTGGGACCCCGTGGCTCCGTGGTCGCAGGCGACTCTGCCCGATCGCGGTTTGAGCTTCGGTGTTGTTCAAGGTCTACAGCAGACGCAGTTGGCAATGACGCTGATCGCGTGGAGTTCCGGTTCAGGGACTCCAACAACAGGATAGACCTGAAGTGCTCCAGAACTTCGGTCCCGGGGACATGGCTCACCGTGTCACATATCTCCGGACCGACTCTGATCAAGACCATCCAGTCGGTGAGGGAGAATCGAGCTCGAGTGGAAGGTCCCGAGCAGACCGAGCAGTTCGCGCAGCTCGCCGCCATTCATCAGACTTGGTGGGAATCATCGATCGCCAACAGCGAAGATCAGGTGGGCAGCATGGTGGTGTTCATCCCCGGCATGGAGGAGGGCAACTTCCACGTGCAGGCTCGGTCGAAGCTGTTGGTGAGAGATCCAGAGGTCGTGCCCGTCAAAGCTCTGGCAGAGATGCAGCATGACGAGGCTGTGAAAGCTCCCACAGGTCCCCCCTCTTTGACAGGGGAGGCATGGTTGAGCTCAGCCGAGGAGGTCGCCAACAGGTCCAGTGCTGCAAGAGGATCGGAAGAGATGGTGCCAGTTCGGCAGCAAGCCAACTACGAGCTCAACTCAAGATCCTTTGCGACCAAGCATCCTCAAGAGGGGAAACGTGGTCACGTTGTGGACGACGAACGAGATCGCGCCCGTTGCGATCGCAGGTTTGCAAGATCCACAGCTCAGCTCACGCCCCAGTTGTTCTATGAGGAGATCTCCAGGCGATCGTACAATGCATCGACTGCGACGATCGAGGAGATTGACGCAGATCCTCCCACTCCGCCAGCTGACTTGTCGTTCTGGGTCGAGGGAGCTGTGAAGGAAGAAGTGGTGGCAGATCGTCCTGTCCTCAGCCAAGTTCCTCACAGCACTCCTGCAGTTGGATCCAACGAGGGAGGTGGGCAATCGACACCAGCCACAGCTCCTCAGTCTTTTGGCCCGCCGGGTCTGGCTGCCAAGGATGACAAGGAGGAGATCGTCGTGGAGTAGGTCAGATCTTTTTATTTATTTTTCCATATTTTTCATGCAGATCTGCAGAAGGTCAGATCGCACCCCGCACGACGGGCATATTTAAATCGAAGTCGCGGCAAAAAGATCAATGCAGTGCGCATGAACAGGTCTGCACGTTTGTTGGAACGTGATGGTGGTGATCGCCCATGTTCACGTGTGGTTCAACCTTTGTTCGTGGTTAGCACATTGATCTTATAGTCGCAGTCATATATTTTATAAACTTCAAGGGTTTGATCATGACCTTTGTCGTTCACCACATGTTCCCTAAGCCTCAGCCGGCTGGTGATCATCCAGGGTAGGGGTTCCAGGGTTCGTTGATGTAGGCTGTTCAGCTGTTTGGTTCCCCCCATTTAGTCCTGGATTAACCTCATGTTATCCCCTGTTAACTTAGGCCCAGATTAGGCTGATTCTCCTGATCAGGGTTTAAGTTTGGGGGCTAGGTTCATCCAGGGTCGAGGGTCTATTTGATTTCGTTTTCAGTCTAGGGATTGATCATATCCCATGACCATAAGTTTTTATGTTGATCGCACGAGGGTCCTTTTTATTGAATTGATCGTATCCTCTTGCTGATGATCTTGATGATGGTAGTTCATGTGATTTCAGTTTATCTCTTAGGGCTGTTCATTTGCCCTGGTGGATGTTGTTCCTGTTGGTTCATTAGGTTACTTTTCGGGATTCACTATTGGGATTGATCATATCCCCAGGTAGTCCCGATGAGATCCTCTGCCAACAGCCAGCGGGTTGGTCGTTTGGGGTAGATCCTCCCATCGACCGGCACTGCAGGTTGGATCCCCAGTGCTGATCATGCACGGGCTGTGGGCGATCGCTCCCGGGGCCTCAGTTGCTCAAGATGGATCGGTCGATCCACCGGTTTCTCTGTTTACCCCTCTTTGATGAAGTTTTTAGGTCGGTTTTAGCTGAGCTCAACTTAGATCGTATAGAGCTATGGCTGTCTCTTGCAGATGAAGGGGAGGGGGATACAGCGGATCACAAGCTGTGCCTAATCCTGTCTGCTCTGACCCAAAAACAAGAGGTGATGGATCAGATCCTTAGTCGGCTGGATATGGTCAACGTCCTGGCCTCTATGGTGTCCAGATCGACGGAGAAGATCCGCCGTGAGATAGCGGTAGACTGGGCTATGGGTACGCTGAGCCGGCGTCGATCGCTGCTAAGCGTAAGCCCGTGGTCAGCCCGCTTCCTACGCCAGCTCCTCCGGCAGTCGGAGCCAGACCTTCGGGTCAGGGACCGATCGAGGAGGTCCTATCTATCCAGGTGGTCGAAGCTTCCGAAAGGAAGAAGTGGGGGCTCAGGCTCCAAAATATCTGCGAGCGCGCAGGAGCGGCCTCTGGGCTCAACGATGCAAAGCGGTGCGCTGGCCTGTTGCCGGCTGAGGCAGCTCGCCTCAAGAGCTTGGCATTTGAGGTAGGCGGGTTCCGCACCATCAGGCAGAATGTTCGATATTGGGAGAAGTTTGAAGAGTGGTCGATCGGCCACGGACTGCGTGTGTACCCGCCCACGATCGTGGCAGTCATGAGATATGCACTGCACTTACGCGATCAAGGGTGCGGTCCCTCCATCTTGCCCGCGTTCAAGTACGCACTGGGGTGGATATGCAAGAGGCTCGTCATGCAGACCCCGAACATGGCAGATCCGCAGCTCAAGGCCATCATCGACGAGGTCTACAACCTGCGGGGCAAGGAGCTCAAAGAGGCGGTCCCTGTGCCGCCGAAGATGGTTCTTGCCCTTGAGCTCCTTTGCATGAGGCTCATCAAGGAGAAGAAGGATGCAGCTGCGATCTTCGTGTGGTGGGTGCTCATCCTTATCTATGCGTCGCTCAGGTTCGACGACGGGATCCACGTAGCCCCGCTATCACTGCAGATGAACCAGGACGCTCTCCTGGGCGTGGTATGGCAGACCAAGGTCGAAAGGAAGAAGCGAGGCACAAGATTCGCAGTGCCCGCATGTTCTATGTCGGACCATGCCTGGCTCGAAGAAGGGTGGAAGATCTTCCAGCCGTTCATCTCTGAGAGGGATTATTTTATTTGGGAGATCAAGAATGAGAAAGAGTTCTCAGCAGCTCCTATCTCATACTCGAGAGGATTGGCCTGGCTCAAGCACTTTATGCTCCTGGGCCTTGCAGAAGCAACCAAGCTCGGCTATGTGGCGGCCAATGAAGTTGATCAGCTGGAAGGAAGCATCCAGGTGATCACTTGGCACTCTATGAGAGTCACCATGCTGTCGGAGGCGGTGAAAGCGAATGTCGACGACAAGATCGTCGGCTTGCAGGCCAATTGGAAGGATCCGAGCCAATTGGTCCTGAAGTGCGCCCGGCAGCGCAAGGAGCTCTCAGTGGCCATGGTCAAGCAGATGGCGAGCAAGCTCAAAGACGCATGGCTCCCAGATCCTGAGAAGTTCGTCGTTGAAGAAGAAGACGAGGAGGTCACGGAGCCGATCGTGACTGAGTTCATCGTCAAGGCGACTTTGCCAGAGAAAGCTCTGGTATCAGCTGACTTTAGGTGCCACATTTTTGATCGTAGGGAATCTGAAGATAGTTCCATTTGTGGCAGACTGAAGATGCGTGATGCCGTCTCAGTCGGTAGCCATGCGCCTGGCATGATCTGCCAGTTGTGCCGTAGCAAGGCTCAGATTTGATATAGGTCGCAGGCGGTAAAACAGCCAGAAGACAGCTATTGATCTATGTGCTGCCCTGCGCGATCGTTTTTCAGTTGGATCTGCCGTGATGTTTCCTTTTTTTTATAAACACCTGTTTGATCTAATTTTGATTATTTTTCCCTGTTGTCCATTTTAGCTGTAGTCGATCGGTCCGGGGTTCTTTGGCACTTTGCACACAGTCGGGTTGATCACGCCTGTACCATGTGCTCTGCCGAGGGATCCACCTTTTGTCAGGGATTCAAGTGCCCAATATGGTCGATCGAACCGTCTACGCCGATGATGCTCACACGCCCAAGATCGCGCTTAGGCAGATCTTTGGACGCATGGGCCTGCCACAGGCCCTGTGCCGTTCGGCAGCAGACGGGGGGCTACTATCTGTGGAGATCTTTGCAATGCTGGGAGACACTGCACAGGCAGTGAAAACCTCGCTCAGGACTATGATTGCCGAGGCAGATCTTGGCACGACAGATGCTGCCAGAGAGCTCGCATTGATGCAGCTCGCAGCAGTATGGCATGCATGCCACGCTCTACAAGGGCAGTTCGCCACTCGGCGTGCGCGCATGGAAGAGGACCCCAACAAGGTTCCAGAGATGGCGCAAGAAGATCACGCTGAGTTTCGGGCGCGCTTTGTTCAAGCCCATCCAGATGTCATTTTGCTGGATGCTAAAGAGCCTCACAAGAAGTTCGTGGAGAAGCTCAGCCGCGATTTCTTGGTTCACGGCATGGTGCCGTATTACTCTGTGGCCGAGATCCGGACACGTTCAGACAGCTGCAGAAGTCTGGGCTCTCCAAGAACGCAGAGGATCTTTTGACGATATCCAAGGCGGATGAACCTGATCAGGTCACCGACTCTGTGACTATGATGAACAGGATCCATGCCTTTTTCATGGCCTTGGAATATCTCAACATTTGCACATACTCTCGTGCGGCTGGCCCATTGCGCTACCTGCAGGAGCTCGAGCAATTTCGCTCGGAATGCCCGGGCCTGCCTTACCTTTTGGCTGCTGACTCCTTGATCAGGAAGAAGGTCAACAGGTTGCAGGCTGAGCAGCGCCAACTTTATGGTACGTTCGAGGACGCCATCATCGAGGTCCTGAACAACCACAAGTACCTTTGGAACGACGCCCGAACAAAGGCAGTTCTTTCCAAAGTCGATCGGCGCAGAGAGGACGCCAGCGAGACTGGCGATTCACAAGACAAGGTCGTCGAAGCGGCGCCCAAGAGCTCTCCCAACAAAGATAGAAAGAAGCGCCAGCGGCTCCGCAACAAGGCGCTCCTCCGTGAAGCCAAGGAGTCTAAAGTCAAGAAGGATCCAGCTGACAAAAAGTCAGCCTCAGCAAGAGATGAGAAGGTCAGCAAGGACAAGCGGATCCCAGACACAGAGTGGAAAGCGATCGTGCAAGCCGCCAGCTCCGTGTCTGGCCCAAAGAGGTGTCATTATTTCAACTCCACCATGGGATGCTCTCTGGGCGACAAGTGCAGGTTCAAGCATCAGTGCATGGTCTGCGGCTCCGCTCACTCCATGGTGGGCAATCACTGAATGGGTGATCAACCAATGGCTCCATTGGATGAGGTAAAGACGGTTGACAGCAATCACTGCTCGAATGTTTTTCCTTCACCATTTTGGGGCTCTGGTTTTGTGCCATCTGGCACACGGTTTTTCGTAGAGATCTTTGCAGGAGAGGCAGGGCTGACACAAGCCATCATTGCTCGTGGTATTAAGGCCCTGCCCCCTATTGAGATCTTGGCCAACGAATTTGTCGTCGAAGAGGTGAATATTTTGGATCCCAAGGTTTTTCAACATTTGTGCAAGTTAATTCGCGCGGGGTGCATTTTCTTTATTCATTTTGGCACACCCTGCTCCTCATTTAGCCAAGCTCGCAAAGATGATGGCGGCCCACCACCGTTGCGTGATCGACACAACCTGTGGGGACGCCCAAAACTATCTCGACAGGATCAAGCAAGAGTCGAGTTGGGCAACCAGTTCATGGAACTCACAGTAGAGCTCTTGGTTTTATGTTGCCAGTTCGGCGTCCATTGGTCGCTGGAGAACCCGGCATCATCCTTCTTGTGGGACATGCCACCAGTTCGCGCCCTGGCTGCTCGCGCTGGAGTGGGTCGGTTCATTTTGGACATGTGCAGGTTCCAATCTAAACACAAGAAGCCTACAGCGCTCCTGTCTGATTGCGACCTTAGTGCGCTGGCGCTCGCCTGTGATCTGGATGTGCAGCCTCATGTTCACGAACCCTTGGTGGGCATGGTCATGTCTCAGGGCAAGAAGATTTTCAAAACCAAGTTGGCTCAGGTCTATCCGCCGCTTCTCTGCCAAGCATGGGCGAAGGTGATCGCATGTCTGCAGGTCGAGATGGAACCTGGACAAGCTGTTCAACGAGCTTTACAAGTTCCACATCCTTTTACTTTGGATCCAGCGCTTGATCCCGATCTTCAAGAAGCTCTGGCGTTCGCCGTGCATAAGCCTCACCAACTGCTTGGTCATCGGTAAGGGGCTTTACAGTTTTGGGCTGATCGGGCTGAGCGTCTTTTGCCGCTCACGGACCAGGAGCTCCGTGCCATCCATGATCCCTACCTGCGGTCGCTGCTGCGCGGAGCACCTGATGACCAACCTGTTCAGATCGGCACGGTCACACAAGTCGCATTGTGGCGGGAGCTGCTCGCTGCTAGCCGCTGTATTGACAGCTCACTGGTGGACGAGATGATCAATGGCTTCTCCATTGTCGGCGACATCAAGCGCTCATTTCGTTGGCCGCGATTACCGCTGCCTGATGATGCTCTGCCGGAACAAGATCTTGTTTCGCGGGCCTGGGAGTTTTCCAACAAGGTCTTGAAGAACGTAAAAAGATCAGAAGTGACGGAGAACACCTCCAAGATCTGGGAGGCAACTATGGAAGACGTCCGTGAAGGAGTCACTGCAGGTCCTTTCTTCTCAAAAGACGAGGTCGACAAGTTCCTCGGCACTGAAGATTGGATCCCGACCCAGCGGTTCGAAGTGGTGCAGAAGAACAAGGTCAGAGGTGTGGACAGTGCCACGATCAATGGCATCAACATGGCTTCCAGGATCCTGGAAAAGATTGAGCTGCCATCTACGGACGCGAACGTGTCTGCTTTGAGGTGGATGAGGTCATCGTGCTCTAGCTCCACTAAACTGCAAGGGTGGGTTCTGGACGAAAGGAAAGCTTATCGCCAGATTCCTATCCACCCTGATCACCGGAGATGGAGCGTGATCTCGCTTCGCGAACCTGACACAGGGAAGGTCTCATTTTTCGTCATGATTGGTCATTCTTTTGGATTGGTAGCGGCGGTCTACAATTACAATCGTAGATCTGCGGCTATGACCGATATACTTCGCAGGGTCTTTTTCGTGGCGGCTTTCAACTTCTACGATGATAAGTACGGGTTCGAAACCGAAGTCACCTGCTCTTCAGCCTTCGAGATTGCTCAGAAGGTCCACTGGTGGCTAGGTGCCAAATTCGACCCCAAGAAGCTCCAGCTCTGCGAGGACCCCACGATCTTAGGGGTGACCTACAATTTGAAAGCTATGTGCCTGAAGATCAAACCTTCGAGAAAGGAGGAGCTGCTGGACGAGATCAAGTCTATCATCTCCTCCGAGATCTTGTCGCCTGGCCAAGCAGGCATGTTGCGCGGCAAGCTCATGTTTGGCGCTTCACAGTTGTGGGGGAAGATTGGTAGGGCCTTTCTGAGAGCTCTCTCGGAGAGGCAGTACACGAGATCTCCCGAGACTGGTCTCAACCTTGCGCTCAAGCTCGCGCTGAAACAGTGGGAGCTGCTGATTGATCATGGTCCTCCGCGGCCTATTACTGCATCGGGCGCTCGACCTGCTGATTACGTCATCTTCACGGATGGCAGCTTCCCTGATCAGAAGAGCGACTTGCAAGATCCTTGGATTGGCGGCGTGTTGTTCAAGAAAGGCGCTAGACCGATCCAGTTCGGATGCAAAGTGGGCATGGACTTGATCGAGAAGTGGATCCCGCGGAAGTCACAGATCGCCATGGTCGAACTCTTCGCTACAGTCGTGGCGCTCCAGACTTTCAAGCCTTGGATCTCCAGCTCTTGGTCCCTGCTCTTTGTGGACTCTGAACCTGTTCAAGGCGCGTTAGTGAAAGGATATTCCGCCCGTGAAGATCTTTGCGAATTAGTAGGGGTTTTCTGGAAACTAGCTCTTGATGTTCACATTAATCTTTACATCGATCGAGTTCCAACGGACTCCAATCCCGCTGATCCACCATCTCGTCGTAGATTAGACATAGGTCAGTCTCTAGGATGGGATACGATACCAGCGGTTTTTCCTGATCTCTAGGCGGCGTGGGTCAGACAGAGATCATTCTGTGGTGAGGTTTTATTTATCGGTGCTGAAGGAGTTGATCCACTCCTTGTTTGCATTTGTGATGTTGTTATTTTTATCCATTTGGGGTCGATCCCCCAGCATTGATCTGATGGGCTGATCCACCCATCTTCATCCTCAATCACCCACGTCTCCAGAGGATGAAAAGTTTGCATAGCGGCCGAGTGCAGTGCATGTGTTCACGTGCACGTCAAAGAACTGTGATTGGGTCACTTATCTACGGTTGGTTGGTGAGGGATAAGTGGATCAATGTTACAGTTCGTGGCACTGGTTGCGTTTGATCTTATTTTATTTTTATTTACCCGATCGGGTTCAGTGAAGAGATTTTTGTGTATTCATTTATTGTGATCACAGAGCGTGGGGTTGATCAACCCCGTTTGAGTCAGTGGCACTGATCAGATCTTGGTGCCATTTTGGCTCAAGATCTGATCAGCGATCTCTTTTGGGAATTGTCCCGCCCACCTCTAGCCCCATGATGGTTTATTATTTACCATTGTGAGGGTCGGAGGTGCCTCCTGAGATCGTTCCTTTTTCACTGCCTCGCAGTGCCTTGCTCTGAAAACGTCGATCTGATTTCCTCTGAGCATAGTTCATTTTTGCTATTATTTTTCACCCAAGGTGATCACTTCGGGCAAGATAGAGATCATTCTGCGATGAAGTTTTATTTATTTGTGCTGACGGAGTTGATTCACTCCGCGTTTGCACTTGTGATGGGTCAGACAGAGATCATTCTGTGGTGAGGTTTTATTTATCGGTGCTGAAGGAGTTGACCCACTCCTTGTTTGCATTTGTGATGTTGTTATTTTTATCCATTTGGGGTCGATCCCCCAGCATTGATCTGATGGGCTGATCCACCCATCTTCATCCTCAATCACCCACGTCTCCAGAGGATGAAAAGTTTGCATAGCGGCCGAGTGCAGTGCATGTGTTCACGTGCACGTCAAAGAACTGTGATTGATCTAATTATTATATACATATATATGTATAGTAGTGATGATGCAGGATCGCATCCACCCCAGATGTACTTAGTAACTTGTAAGTGTGCTACAATTAAAACTTGGTTCTGATTCCGCTTTGTCTTTGTAGAATCCAAGTGCAATCCAAAACCTTCCGCTCCTATGGGTCCTATAGGTGTTGTGCTTTCGATCAAGGAGAGGTGATCCAGTTGTACGAACTACATCGAACTACATCGAACTACTTTGAATCCAGCATTCGGATCACAAAGCCTTCAATTGCAACGGACACGTTGGTCAGGATAAAACTACAGACCTTGGTGGAAACGACAAATGTGGTGAAGAATTGCGCGTTGATGAAGGATGTTGTGAAGCTGATTCAGGCTTGCGGGGGTTCTGTGCATGAGTGTGGGCAGGGTTCCCAGTTTGATTCAGGTTCCTATTTGCAAACAATGTGTGCTAATGAGGCATTGGCCATAATTTGGGCAAAAACATAGCATTTGACATCAATCGTGGTGCATAGGAGGCAAAATGCGGCGAAACTGAGAATCTGTATGAGATTTTCTGAGATTTGACATCTGTCCTACATGTGTCCACTTTTTAACATCAATGTTGAGACTGCTGAATGGATCTGGATGGATATGGATGGACTCCCACGAAGGAGACCTTGAAGTGGAACGAGGCACCAGGTTCACAAAGATCGACCTGGAGGCATGGTTTGCTTTTCGATGGGCATAATGGGCACAGTGGATGTTGCAAAAGGGGTTCTGGGAGGCTAGTACCCCTGGCAGTCCGAGTTGCAGCTTTTGCACGAAGCTTGCTAACAATTAATTGATGCTGATATTGATGCGAGTTGTACAGTGCAGAATAATCCTGGTATATTTTCGAAAGCCCTTCGACTGTACAGCGAATGTACTGTTGGATGCTGTGAATCCTGGCAGGACGACGAGTCCGGTGTTCCCAGTGGGAAAGCAGTTGGAGCGACTCAGCGCCTTGAAGCCCACTGGAAATTTGCTGCCAAAGAGGCTGGTTTGTTGACTGCTCAAGTTTTAATGCCAAAGTTCAAAATGGCAGCTGAAGTCATTTTACAGCATGATTTAAGTTTTAATGCGTTTTCGACTGTTTTCATTGTGACTACATTCGATTTGATGACATTCGTTCCAGCATTCGCAGTCCAGACCGCAACGTGGATATGGTTGAACAGACTTTCAGATTAAGACAGGTCGACACTTCTGAAAAAAGATACCTCCTCCATTCACTTGTCAGGTTTGATGATTCCTAAAACGGTCGCGTTATTTGATTGTTTCTTTATGACCTGCACCACGTTGTGTGTCCCGTATTTGCCTGCCAGATTTCCGCGCTACAACTATGTGCATTTGCTAGCAGAGGTGGCTTGTTTACAAAGGATGGTTCGCTTCCTGACAGCCTCATTCCATCTTATTCCTACTAAAACTTTGGTCATCCATTCTATGTATAGCGTCCCTTCAAACTTCAACCCATTGCCAACCATTGCCAATCGATGCCAAGACAGCTTTGTGCAAACATATTGGCATGCATAAATGATTCGTGGTGATATGAACACGACACATATTAGAAGAGAGAGAGAGAGACTATGTAGATTGTAGATTCTAGATTTTGAAGGTTGCATGTGGGAATTTATAACCGGTTGCGAGAACAGGTCATGCTCTTCAAGCTCGATGTGCCACTGGCGGAGGATCCCTTTGCTGATGCAGCAACCTTGGCAGCCAATGGGGGCTTGCCTCGGGCAATTCACAAGACAATATGGTTCAGACGTTCAGACATCATGTACTGCACATGTACTGAAGGATACTGAAGGTACTGGGCAACATGGACAACAGTATGACGTCTCATCCAGAAGCGTTTCTCGATGCCAACGATTTGTTATTCGGCCTTTTTTTACGCAGTGGCTTTTCACCCAATCTGACCCAATCGAATTGAATTTAATTTGTTTGCGCCCGTTGCTTCTTTTTGAAGGTACCTAGCCTCAAGACTGCAAGTCAGGCAAGTCCAGACTTAGTATATGAGGAGCGGGCAAGCTAGCAGCTGACATTTCGAATTTCGATGAAATCTACGTCTAAGTCTATGTTCAATCACTTCACTTGCAAATGCCCTTGCAAAAACAGGAGTTGGATTACCGCCATCGGCCAGCAAATTGTTGATACATGTTGATACTATGAGTTACTATGACAGAGACACCAATCAGCGTAGGTATGAAGCATTTGGTAGAGTCATTAGGTATATACCACTGCCATTTAGAAAGCTTGAGATCCCGCAGCGGGTACATCATGAAAGTGTTTTCAATGGAGTGCCCCATCTGATTTCTCATCCTTGGTTCCAGTGGAAATGGACCATGGGGCTCTTTATTCATTCGTGCTTTCAAGGAAGTGCTTTCACTCGGTCTGGGTAAGTGTTTGATCAAAGATGATCAGAGATCAAAGTGTCACGTCTTGTGATTTTTCGCTTTGTATTGATATTGGGAAGTTCCATGAAGTTTGTCATTCCCGTGGTGCTTGCAAACCCAGGAGCTGCAAAAGGTCTCAGAGGGCCTACGAATGACAAGCAATGAGCTGTGCAAGAATGTGCCCACACCGCACAGAAACTCAATGAAATGCAATTTTCAATTGTTGGGATTGCTACTGTAACTCTCTGAGTATCAACAAATTTGATGATAGCATGGGAATCAGTTCAACATGTTCAAAGACATTGCTTGGAAGATCTCGTTTCCATGGTTGCAAACTGCGAGCTTCCATAGGCAGCCTCCTATGGAGACGGCGCAGAAGAGGTGCCTTGTCACTGCAGAACTTGAGCTGTGCATTGCATTTGAAAATCATATTTCGACATTTTGAAACCCTCGGTGAGATTTCTTGAACGTATTTTGGCGACCTTGAAATTGAATGGCTTAGGAAAAAGAACCTCGAGAAGCGCAGGTGCGGGGAAGACGAGTGATGAAGGAACATGTGGCTCCGTGTGAAAGTCCTTCAAACATGAATTAAACATGAATTAAATCGTTTGACTGAAGGAACTCCACGGCTTTTTCGACTGGATAATATTGTGTGTGCTACATACATCTAAATACTTCAATGACCTCAATGCACTCATTTTGAACCTTGCCCATGATTCAAGTGAGTTTGCCAATCTACTGTAACTTCTCTTTTGGCAGCCTTAGCCTGAACTCATGCATGTATGGTCATGTATGTATTCATCATGTATCAAAGTGGTGAGCAAAACTGGGTCAACAAGGAGCTGGGAGATTTGCTGCGTGCCTTTCCACTTGTACGAGACCTGCATCTGAGGTCTTTCACATTTGTAGTGATGCAGTTGAGGCAGGGAGCCTCCAGATTCCTGCTTTAGTGACTTTCTTACCGGCAGATTTGAGTTCAGCCAACGCCATATTGTTTTATATTATTATGTCAACACATGTGAAATTATATAGATGCATTTCCGACACAAGATACGAGTAGCGCTATGGGTTGTTTCCTTTTATACGCCAAGTCATGTAAGCCTTTGCTTGCTCACACCTGTTCAATCATTCCAATGCCAGAGGCTATCGCAGCCATCACTGAAACACATTGAAACACCACATCCTGTCTGATTGTAGACATTTGAACTCAAGCCCGCCATGTCTTTGAGAGAAGTTGTTTCTCACGGGGCGGGAAATGTTGCTACGTCGTTTGTGCATGCCCCTTGTGGCAGCACCTCTGCTGGGTTGCAAGTCGCACCCGCGGGAACCCATGAAAGACGTGGCATAACAACTGAGCCGCAAGCTGCAAGGGGCACTCGACTGGCTCAGTGGTTCGGGAGAAACAGTGCATGTACCATCTCTGCCCTTTGTGCAAGTGCAACTTGTTTCAGCGTTGTTTGGCCTCTTATTTTACCTCATTGACTGCTATAGGTTCTGTTTTGAACATCAGCATCAACTATCATCAACTATCATCAACTAATTAATTTAGTAAAACTATGTAAAACTATGTAAAACTTTGAATTGACCGAGGGGCGGCTGCAGTCGTTACGTCGATCGACAGGTGATTTGCTGCCGGGCTTCCTGGGTGCGTCGTCGCTGTGGGAGACCCGACCGGCCGTGCACAGCTCCAGCTGCGAGCCGAAGAGATTTGGCAACCGCACTGGTGGTGGCCGAGCATTGGCTATATTTTATGATGTTTATAATATTAATAGTTTATAACATGTTAGAACTGATTATATCGATTTATATTGACTTATATAATCTAATCTAATCGTAATCTATCATAATCTTATACAAATTGTATATTTAATAATTTTAATATTATTTGATATAATATATTATGTATATATTATTTGTAATTTATTTTTATTTATTTAGTTTACATATATGTATTGTCGAATTATTTTGATCTATTAAGATTCTTGCTCTCGTTCTGATTGTAATGCAAGTTCCATTGGAATATCAACAACCGGAATGGCTTTGTTGCTGCCCGACAGCAAGTGTTGAGCCCGGGACTTCACACCAAGTCAAACCTCTATTAATACATCTTTTTAGCCATTTAACTTCTACGCGCATCTTTGTGCCATGTCCTTGATGGTCCTTGACCAGAGATGTATCTAGGAAGAACTGCCCTTGCAAGGAGCCAAGGGTCTTAATATTCTCACAGGCTCACCATGTCCCCCCACTCAAAGCGAAACACATAGAAGAGGAACCTCCATGGTTTGAGGCTTGAGGAATGATCATTTGTTTTTCTTTTGTGCAAAGATATATAACAAAGAAGTTCCGTTGACAGTAGTGCCCTTTATATGTTTATTCAAGTGACAAGCTCACATCATTGATATACCATTGATATCCATTGATAAGCAATTACATATTATTCTTAAGTCGCATTGGCTGCACAATACTGCAGAGTGCACTACTTGAAGCGCCACATTTTGGAATGCTCAATGAGGTGCCTCAAGCGGCGGCTGCAGAAGTGCAGAATCTTGGTAGAATCATTTTCCAAGTTCATGGCTAAGATTACCTGTTCCCCATGCAGACTTCCAAGGGTTGCAAGCTTCAAACAGGATATGCAGATATATGCAGATATTGCACGGTGTTTTTACATGTTTTCTGTTTGCTGGCGTGGTTGCTTGGGACTCAATCATGTGTTGACTCAACTCAGTCTAATGAGTCGAATGGGTCACCGACAGAATGTTGACCCTGCTACCTGCATCTTCAACATCTCCAACGCAACGGCAAAGGAATCAATCAAATTTGGGACTCTTATGGCTGCCCATCAATGAGGAACTGGTTTGAAGGGGAGGGGTGGATTGCTGTGAGGTGTTGTCGCGGATGAATGTTCATCCCGTGGTGAGTTTGCTTTCAGATGAAATGGAAACAAGGCTAAGCGGCTGAGCCTCTTCAGCATGCCATCAAGCCTACATCATATATCCTCCATCCATATAATAATATATAATTATAGAATATTATAGATTTATAAATCGCGTAGCTGTGATGTTTTCACCGGTTTCCTTGAAGGATCTCCCGGGGGTCATTTGCGCAACACAACTTGATGCTTCGATACATCATGTCTCGAATGTGTATTCTCATTTGCGTTTGGGTTTTCTTTTTCCTGGAGGCTACCACCTTCCAGATCGCTTCCTCCTAATTACATTTGGTGCAAAGACAAGGTTGCATTTCTCACTGATAGCATGCTCCTGCCGCGACCAAAATGGATATCACGCTTTTTTTGTACGGTAGAATTTGATGATTCCGGCTCATTGCACGCATGGAAAGGAAGCTCTCCTCAATCTGAAAGGAGTAGGTGGAAAGGGTAAAAATTAAACATAGAATGGGCTTTGTGGTGAAATCGATTTGCCTAAGAACAAGCACAGGATTTGTTTCCAGGCTGGTTGTACTCCATACTTGTGGGGTTATGGAATGGTGCTTTTAGGATCTTTTAGGGATTGATAGTTCGGTGGGAGAAGGTAGGATGATGTAAGAGCATGACTGAGGACTTGGTCCTTGCTTTGATTTTGTTATCATGAGCTGGAAGGCTGTTCTAAGACTGACCAGCGGGTCCGTCCAGGGTTGGTAGCTTGTTGGATTTGTAAAGAGTCCAATGATGTCGTATTTTTATGTATTTTTTTCAACCCGATTTGGGATACGATCACGACACCTGTAGAGCTCCCTGAAGTTGTGTGCCTTTGTGCCTTCGCATGTTTGCAGTACCAGCCTGGCCCTTTCAGGAGCCTGAAAAGGAGGAAATTTTCGAGCGATTTGAGTCAGATGCACAGTGGTCCGTAGATTTTATAGTCTACCTGGCTCGTATTCTGCTCAACTATGATGCAGCCTCAGCTTCCTGGTGGCAGACTGAAGTGGTCCCTGCTGTTGATGCAACACTTTCACCGAATGGCGATGCAAAAACATGGCAACAAATGAGAGCTGCCAAACTGCGTGAGATTTTTGCCGATTATGCTGCATCAGTGGAAATTGGTTTGCGGAGATATCAAGAAGAAGGAAGACGAAAATCTGGACTTTTGAAGAAGTTGGTCGATCGATATGGGGAGACCCAGGAGGGCCGGCGACAATTAGCGCTGGCATTCACCTTACTCGAAGACCAACCTTTAGAGCTTCTGTCAAGCCTCTTGAGTTCCCTCCAACTAGAATCTCGAAGAGATACTGTAGCAATCAGATAGCACATAATGTAAGAGAGAGAGAGAGATAATCGTGCCCCAGTTCTTTTTATTTTACTGTAACAATTTTAAGTTTCAACGATTTTCAACGCTTTTGTTCTTACATAGTCTATCTCTCTTAAATTTAAGTGCAGGCTGGCTGCCAAGTACAGCTCATTTGCACATGTTTGCACTGAGGACACCCGCTTGCAGGCCGTCTTTTCGCCGGCTCTTTCAGATTACTTAGCCATGGATCCAACGAGACTGCTGCCCATAACCCAATATCCTGTTTGGAATGGAGGCATAGGCAGATGGGTGATTCCTGGTTTCTGAACTGCTGTTGAGAATCACTGTATTTTTTTTCTTTGTTTGTTTTGGTTTGTTTTGTTTGGCCTAGCGGGGCTTCAAAACTGTCGATGTATAGTGATACGGATATGTGATATGGATGGATTGATTGATGGACGGATAGATTGATGGATGGATGCATGGATTGATGGATGGATGGATGGATGGATGGATGGATGGATGGAGAGAGATATACAGAGGGAGGGACAAAGCAGTAGACTCTCAGTAGACTTACGATGACTTACGTATAGCCCACGCAAGTGAAGTGAATATCAACAATGTGAGTTCAACCATGTGCTCCCCGTAGATGTAGATAGGTGTGTATGATTTAAGCCGCCTGCATTAAAATTGAAACAAGTGCAGAGAGCAATCAGCAGCAATGAATTAAGCTCAAGATAGTAAAGTTATAGTAAAGTGTCCACGCAGCTTGCAAGACATGCGTTTTATTCGTTTGTCCTGGCTTTATGATGGGTCTGTTGAATTCTCTGTCCACAAGTTAAACATGGGACAATAGCGAAGGTTTCCAGTCCGCTCAGCCGTACAAGAGCGCCTTCGATGAGATAGACAATGGAGCACAACTCAGTGTCTTCGGAGCACGAGGCACCGATGTGGTGGTCAAGGAGCGAAAACTAAATCCGAGAGACTATGGTTCTTTGCTGCAAACCCATCCCCCATAGACTCAGTTTGTGAATTGCATCCATCCCCCCACGTACAGTCAACAAAGGTCAACAAAGCACATTACTGATTGTTTCTGAGCTCAAGGGGCCAACGTCAGTGGACAAGGTCTTGCACCATCTTGCACTGACCTTAAAGATATGCTCGGAAATCAAAGGGGTTACAGAATCTTGATTGACTTCCTTTCAGATCTTTTTGATAGTTGTCCCTGCAGAACACTGCTGCCAAGGTTTGTTTGCTCTATCGGGCGCTTTTGGCTGTGCTTTGACTCATTCTCTTGTGATTCCCTTGGACGTGGTGAAGACTCGACTTCAAACCAGTCCCGAACAATACAAAGGTGCAAATCTCGTCAGTGGATTGCAATTGATATACCGAGAGGAAGGTCTAGGAGGCGGCTTGCAAGGTCTGCTGTCCGGTTGGGAGCCCACAGTGCTAGGATATTTGTGGTACGGCATCACCGTCTATCCAGGCTATGAGTCGCGTGGCTGCGCCATCTGAATATTGTTCTGATTGGTTTTGTTTTTGGGGGAGTTAAATACTGACTCCAAGTCAAGCTCTAATCCCTGGATCCCTGGTGGGTGGGTTGTTGTTCGTTGCTTCTTGAGCAGTAAGGTTCTTCAAACGTCTCTTTCTTTCGCTCTTCCCACAAGAGGAGCACTGTTCCAAACTTGTTCCCTTGGGGGAAGGGGGGTACGGCCTTGCAGCACCCATTGGCTCGTCCAAATGTGATCGCAATATATCGCAACTACCAGCCAATGCCAAGCCAATACCCATGCTGTGTTCAAAATTTAGTTTCAAAACATTTCAAAACTATCCCAACTGTTCCAGATCCTTCCCGAATTTCAATATTGGCGCCGCTGTGCAGGAGCTGCGCGTCCTTCTGGTGCTTTTGTCGGGTGCTGTGGCCACGGTCTTCGCATGCTTTGGGGTGTGCCCGGCTGAGGCTTGTCGTATTCGCATGGTGGCGGATCCAGAGCTCAATGCAAAAGGCTTACTGCAGGTAGTGCAGGCGGGCGGGTCCAAGGACTGGAGACATATCTGGAGACAGCATGAAGCCGCATGGCATGTGGCATGTGTGTGAAACTGACATCAAAACAGATAAATAATGATAAATCGGATCACATATATAAACAGTAAATAAATGTTGAGTCAAAAAGAGTGTACCTGGTGAAAGCCCTAAGTTGTCTCAGGCAGCACTTTGTTGTCTCATCTCGGTGTGCCATGCGGAAGATGTGACACAACCATTGGAATGGAGTTGTCATTTGGTATGATCTTTACAGCACAACGCATAGGCACGCAAGGATTCTTAACATTGCAAACATTAGTTATATCCATTTGCCTCCCTAACAATCCCTGGGTTACTTTTATGGAGTTTAGCGGTGTCTTTTGGCTTTTGGTGGAATGGTATATTGTTACAAAATGAGGTTTAGACAAGCTCAATTCAATCTGCAAAGATCAGCAGATGCGCGAATGATTGGGCACTTTGGCCCAAGATTGCTTTGATTGGTGTTTCAATGGCAATGGAACCCCCCCGCAAGAAGCGATCTCGCAATGATGGGGTAAGCCCTTTCTTGTCTCAGATAGCACTTTGTTGTCTCATCTCGGTGTGCCATGCGGAAGAAGTGACACAACCACTGGAATGAATTACTGCATGATTTGTTATTTGGTATGATCTTTACAGCACAACGCATAGGCACGCAGGGATTCTTAACATGGCAAACATTAGTTGTATCAAGTTATATCCATTTGCCCCCTAACAATCCCTGGAGCAACGTGAGTTTCCCACACAGTGTGTACACACTCGGGGGTCTTGTGATCGGTCCTCCTCCTCCTCCTTTTCCTCCTCCTCCTCCTTTTCCTCCTCCTCCTCCTCCTCCTCAGTATCATCATCTTCCTCCTCCTCCACATCATCATTCTAAGCATCATCCTCGTCCTCCCCCTTGACATCATCATCCTCCACATCATCATCCTCCACCTCATCTTCTGCGACATTATCCTCCTCCACCTCATCTTCCGGACCTTATTGCTTGGATTTTTCGAACCTATCCACATCGTTTTTACCATTTACAGTTTTTGATCTGACGTGGGGATACGTGGGGTGGGTTCTGGCTGGGATGGCAAAATGTAATTCCGGTACCTCGTCCGGTATCTCGTCCGGTACCTCGTCCAAAAACCTTTCCAGAGTCATGATTCTGGTATTACATCCATATTCCATATGTCTCGGATTCCGTTACAGCAGGGCAGGGTGTGATTTCAATGCGATTAATTTCAAACTTTGTTTGTGAAAGCCATCCACTCGCCTGCAAGTGTGCCATTGGGGTTTTGGCCCTCATGAGAATGGAAACCCTTTATTTTGTTTCTTTTGGAAATACCAGAATGCAAGCTGGCGATGCTGTTTCAATGCTTGGCTAAGCTTTTGACCTGGAATTGCTTGTGCCATTGGGATTTGCCTCCAAGTTGACAGGTCGCACCTTCCCATTTTCTGATTCCGGGCATAGCTAAATGCAACTAGGGACATGATTCAAAGTTTGCAACGACTTCGTGAAAGTCTTCCACTCTCCTGCAAGTGTGCCATTGGGATTTTATTTTTTTTTTGAGAATGGACACCCTTTAATTTGTTTCTTCTGAAAATACCAGAACGCAAGCTGGTGATGCTGTTTCAATTCTTGGCTAAGCTTTTGACCTGGAATTGCTTTTGGCGGTGTGCCATTGAGATTTGACTCCAAGTTGACAGGTCGCACCTTCCCATATTCTGATTCCGGGCATAGCTAGATGCAACTAGGAACATGATTCAAAGTCTGCAACGACTTCGTGAAAGTCTTCCACTCTCCTGCAAGTGTGCCATTGGGATTTTAGCTTTTCTGAGAATGGACACTCTTTATTTTCTTTCTTTTGGAAATACCAGAACGCAAGCTGGTGATGCTGTTTCGATGCTTGGCTAAGCTTTTGACCTGGAATTGCTTTTGGCAGTGCGCCCTTGAGATTTGACTCCAAGTTGACAGGTCGTACCTTCCCAGATTCTGATTCCAGATGCTAAATGCAAGCTAGGAATAACATGATTCAAAGTTTGCAACGACTTCGTGAAAGTCTTCCATTCTCCTGCAAGTGTGCCATTGGGATTTTTTTTTGAGAATGGACACCCTTTATTTTGTTTCTTTTGGAAATACCAGAATGCAAGCTGGCGATGCTGTTTCAATGCTTGGCTAAGCTTTTGACCTGGAATTGCTTGTGCCATTGGGATTTGCCTCCAAGTTGACAGGTCGCACCTTCCCATTTTCTGATTCCGGGCATAGCTAAATGCAACTAGGGACATGATTCAAAGTTTGCAACGACTTCGTGAAAGTCTTCCACTCTCCTGCAAGTGTGCCATTGGGATTTTAGTTTTTTTTTGAGAATGGACACCCTTTAATTTGTTTCTTCTGAAAATACCAGAACGCAAGCTGGTGATGCTGTTTCAATTCTTGGCTAAGCTTTTGACCTGGAATTGCTTTTGGCGGTGTGCCATTGAGATTTGACTCCAAGTTGACAGGTCGCACCTTCCCATATTCTGATTCCGGGCATAGCTAGATGCAACTAGGAACATGATTCAAAGTCTGCAACGACTTCGTGAAAGTCTTCCACTCTCCTGCAAGTGTGCCATTGGGATTGTAGCTTTTCTGAGAATGGACACTCTTTATTTTCTTTCTTTTGGAAATACCAGAACGCAAGCTGGTGATGCTGTTTCGATGCTTGGCTAAGCTTTTGACCTGGAATTGCTTTTGGCAGTGTGCCATTAAGATTTGAGTCCAAGTTGACAGGTCGCACCTTCCCATATTCTGATTCCGGGCATAGCTAGATGCAACTAGGGACATAATTCAAAGTCTGCAACGACTTCGTGAAAGTCTTCCACTCTCCTGCAAGTGTGCCATTGGGATTTTAGCTTTTATGAGAATGGACACCCTTTATTTTGTTTCTTTTGGAGATACCAGAACGCAAGCTGGTGATGCTGTTTCAATGCTTGGCTAAGCTTTTGGCCTGGAATGGCTTTTGGCGGTGTGCCATTGGGATTTGACTCCGAGTTGACAGGTCGCACCTTCCCATTTTCTGATTCTGGGCATAGCTAAATGCAACCTAATAACATGATTCAAAGTTTGCAACGACTTCAAAACATGATGCATCTGAGCCGCTGTGCCTTGGGGATTTGACACCTGGGGTAACTACTGTCTGCCCTGGGGTAACTCGGTGTGCCTTGCGGTTGGGGTAACTAATGGGTAAGTGGGGTAACTTAGGGCGTTTGCTAGTATGTATTTGATTCCTTTGAAGACTGGACACACCGAGCCGGGGACACTACCACTCAGATACTGAGTTTCAGAGCCGTGAAGTGCAGGCACAGGCAGGAGCCAAAAATTAACCAAAAGTGACCAATAAACCATCCAGCGCTATAGCCAAGCATGTTCAATTCCTTTCCTGCACAAACAGTCCAGAATACATGCCAGCAGCCATGTTAGTGTGGAGGTGATAAGAGAGCAGGATGGTCCAGGCGTTTTCTATGACGGATTGAGCACACTCTTGGTCCGGCAAGTCCTCTTTGGAATGATGAAATTCCTCGTCTTTGACTATTTTGCCGACTTTGTTTTCGATTTGCAACCTGCCTTGGCGGAGAGAGTGGAGACTCAACTTCTCGTCTCCCTTATTTCAGGAGCAGTTGCAGGAGTGGCTTCCTCAATTATATCACAGCCAGCTGATTCTATTCTCACAAGGATGAACCAAAAAGAGGGCCGCGCATCTTTCTTTTCGACTGCACTGGAGATTTGGGAGGAGCAAGGTTCTTCGTTTGCACCTATGACTCGAGACGAAGTGTTTTGCTCCCCTTTTGTTTCTACTGCCTCTCCTTGCTGATTTTAGGTCATCTCCCCGACAATAAATTAGATTTGGGACCTACTAGCACATAGATGTATTCCCACTGAGACGTAGTTTCCCATTCCCTTTTCAACGCATTTGTCTTGAGGTTTTGGTGGTTTCTTCGCAGGACTTGGTTCTAGATCCGTTTGGGCTGCCTGCATCATTAGCGGACAGTTCTTTTTGTACGACCTTTGCAAGAGCTTTCTCGGGGTCAAAGACCTTCGCATGTTTCTGAATGTACAAGTGTAGCTCTGAAAGGCTCCCTTTTTTAAGTGTGACCAGAGAAAGACCCAGGCATACTGTGATGAGCGCGCGTGGAAAACGAGTATGCTGAAGCATGCTTTGCCCAAGCATGGCCTCCGGAGATGGTATCGCAGATGTTTGCAAAATATTGAAAAGGGATCTTGCAGACACATTGATTGTGAAGTGTAGGTTCTATGTGTTGATATGTTGTTTTCCTGCAACTGGATCACAAATGAGGGTGCATGGGATTGCATGGGCACGTTGTCAAAAGAGAATCGGTTCGTATGTTGCCTCCAAGCCAAGTCCCCACAGTTCCTCCAATGGTCCGCTTTCAAGGCACCGGATATCCAAGTCATCCAAATGGACGACGAATCCGAAGTAAGCAGAGAAGATCAGCGCTTTTGCTCAGACCGTTCCTCTTTGTGGGTCTCCTTTTGTCCAGACTCTTTGCATTCTGTCTACCGGGTTACTGGTTAAAATATGAAAGAAGGGTGCAAATATGACAGCAGCTGGCAATCAATCCCTTTTTTTAGGAGACTGCTCTGGCGCAATTTCTTGCACCATGATGCCATCACGCATGCTGATTTGGACAGGAGACAGACTTGAAACTGGTTTCCTTTTGCTCATGTTCATCAGCTCCCAAGGCTCTCCAGCAATCAAGCTTCCAACGAGGCAGAAGCCCAGACAGCATTGCCCACTCCTGGCTGCACTTTCATGAAAAATTGCATGCACCATATATATCCATATATCCTATATACATCCATCACATACTGTAGATTCCTTTGCAGTCAACCTCTTTCAAAGAGTCGAGTAGGCTCCAGTGCTACGTGGCTGGCGCGTGCAAGTGCTGCGGCTACCCTGGCGTCCCAAAGGGAGCTTTTGGCCCGGGGTCTCAGAAGAGCAAACTGCTCAGAGCCCGTACAATTCCTTTTTTGGAAAAGAAATGCTCTTCCGATGTGTCCGACGCGTTCAGAGGTGCGAAAATAGGATAGTAAGGTGGAGTTGAGATGGCGATAGAGAGAGAGAGGTGGAGTAGGAATTAGTAGGTGCCAGGTGGAGTTATCCGCTATGATCCGTTGGCGTAACATACATTCTGCTTCATTCAATGTAGAGATTCCACATGTTGATGTTGTTCTTTCATGCTCTTTCCATTTTTCTCTTGTTCTGGACATGTGCAAGTTCTAGATGCCATGTGGCTGCTAGGAGAGAGGATTGGAAAGCAGACAGGGAAGACGGCAGGCGGCCACAATGGAGAAAACATGTGCCGCTTTTTTGGTTGAAGATGGTTGAAGTATTTTCTCGCAATGTGAGGTGTACATAGGTTTACTGTAGTGCCACTAGGATCACAAAGGCAGCGGTACAGCGACTGGCTTCATCAGTTTGTTGCTTGATGTTGCTTGAATAATTTTGAACATCCAGATTTTAATATTTATAAATAATTATATATATATAGAGTTAAAATTTAAATGATAAAATCAACATGGACAGCTGCGAGTAGTGGCCCTGCAGCGCAAACAGACTTGGAGTATCTTGGAGTGATTCGGAGTGTGAAAGTTTCAGGCAAGGGGCGACCCTATGGGTTCTGCAGCCGCGCCTCTTCCGGCGGCCACAATGGGTGAAGTGCCATAGCTGCCATAGCTGCAACTGGACAAAAAAACTATGATATAGAATTTATGATACTAATTTCTAAATAATTTATATATGATATATATATAATTATATATATATAAGTATGATTACCTGATTTATATATAATCAATTTGCTATATACATATATATACACATTAATATTAATACAGTAAAATGATGTAACATGATAATAAGAAAAACAATAGTAATTCTATCTACCCATCCTTGCCTCAGGTGCTTTGCGACTGTTCGGATGAGGCATTTGGTGCTGCAACAAGTTGAGGCGGCACCAAACTGGGCAAATTAACGTCGTCACGTCGTCACTCTGAATCAAATTCAAACATGTACTTAACATGTATAATATTAACAAATATGATGAAATATGAGTGCTGGAGAGAACTTCGCACCTGGGCTTTCCATGGCTTTCCTGTTGTACCGAGTGTGCTGTCAGCTGGTATGGTGTTTTTCATTGGCGACGGATGATTCCTAAAACCTGCAGCATGCGTGAGCAGGTTTTCAGATGCATGCAGAACCGGACAGAAATCAAAGTATTTTCCAATTCACTTTGTACGTTGTGTCTGTGTTTTTCTGTTCTTTTGGTCGGCTCTGATTTGCTTCAAAGCTGCAACAGACAAAACTTGCACCCCGTAGAGAACAGCTCAGTTGCAGTTAGATAAGTTAGGTAATAGTTAGGTCACTGAGGTCGTTAGGTCCAGCTAGGCCCAGGGCGCGTGAACTGCCATGGCGGGCCTAGATGAGACAGGGCGCTTCTCACAGCCCACGCCTGAGATCGACTCACGAGACATTTCTTGGGCAGATCCAAACTTAGCTGATGCCATGTCCGAGCTGCAGAAGACCGATGTCAAGGTCGACAGTCCATGGCTGGCAGCAGCTTTCTTGACTCGACATGACACTATATTTGCTTGAGTTTATCTCAGTTTTTTCGTGTGTTTTCATGTGTGTTTTCTAGGGCTGTCCTATTTCTTGATATGTGCGATTCTTGAAGTACCGGCGATGGTTTGATTTTGTGCGGCCTCGTGCAACCATATTGCCATATATTGCCCATCACATCCCATCACAAGATTTTTGTTGGAGATGCCTGCGTTTCTGCAAGGAGATGAATGTGGAAAAGACCATCGAAGCGATAGCTGGAACTCTCACATGGCGGTCGCAGAGTGGAGCATCGGAGGCCAGGAATAAGATCCTGGCGGATCCACAACTGTCCTTTCGCGACTTTCCTTTCAGCAGCTTGGAAGATCTTGGAAGGTAGGAATTAGCTTTCAGATGTTTTCATATTCATACATTGTCTCAACCAATGCCAGGCATCATTTGCATCTCAGATTTGAAAGGGACGTTGCTGTTTTGCAAGCAGCCAAGGCAAAGAAGTTTTCGAGTTCTTGCCACAGTGCGAGGGTACCCTTGCCATTGACAAGCGCGGGCTACCTTACGCCATTCGATGCCCTGGAATGGCAAATGTAGTAGGCATGTTTTCCATGATTTCGGAGGATGACCTCCTTCTTTTCCAAATCTACCTGAATGAGTGGCGCATGTGCCAGCTTGAAGAGCATGCCCGAAAAACTGGAGAACTTTGCGGTGTCTTGATTGTGCAGGATATGTTTGCCCCTGATGGTCTGCTAAATGCTTGGAGGAAGCAGGGCAACAAGGCAACCGTTATGCGGCGTGTCACTGGCATGATGGATGAACACTATCCTGGAATCATGGAGAAGGTTTTGCTGGTCAATGCCCCCTGGGCGCTGCATGCCTTGATAAAGGTAGTAACCCCTTTGCTTCCACCACGAATCGTTCAGAAGATTCAGTTCGTCCCAGTTGACCAGACGCCAACACGTTTGCTCGAATTTATTTGCCCAGAGAAGCTGCCTTCCTTTCTTGGAGGCAACGCTGAGAATGAAGAGTTTGTTCCTGCCCGGGCCGCTGCTTTGCTTGCAAGGCCTGGCACCGAAGTCTTTATCAAGGCGGGCTGCATAGAAGAGTGTTCCCTATCCTTGGAAGCAAATGATGAAGCCACATGCAGTGTCTTTGTGGAAGGGGGCTTGGACATCATGCTGGATTGTTGCTTTGTGGATGGCGAAGGCAAAGAAGAGATTGTACCCCCCGCACGTGTCATCGAGAAGGATTTCAATTTCACAGCCATGAAGAAAGGTGAATTGATGCTGCGGTTTGACAACACATACAGCTGGGTCAAGCCCAAAACAATTAAATACGAACTGGCAAAACTGCCAGATGAAGTACAGAGAGCAGACGGAGATGCAGGGTATGCAGGATGAGGCATGCCATGAAGTATCTCAAAAATCGCAAAGCACTATATGCTGCAGCATACTGTGACTGTAGTATCCTGAAGCGGATTTTGTGCAGTGTGTTGGCTTCGTTTCATAAAGTGATTTTGCCAATCCAAAGACGTGCTAAGGGTATAAGGCCCTCAGCATCGCTTGGTTGAGACCGGTTGATTCAGTTGTTTCACTTCACAAAGTGTATTGTATGTATCAGCAGACATAGGCGAGATGTTGGTTAATTGCACCCGTACAGGCAAGACGTTGCTGCAACGTTGCCAAAAAATGGAGGGGGGCGCGCCTCTGCGCCTCTCTCTCTCTCTCTCTCCTATCTTAGAACCAAATTCTGGATTGATGCAGCCCAGAATGAAACGCACGTTTGGATTTGGATATCCTTCTTTGTTCAACTGGAGCGAACATGTTTGAAAGACATGGGATGCTTTCACGGGAATGTATCATCCAGTGCCAGGAGCATCAGCAAGAAGTTGCAATCACCTTACCAGGCTCAGAGGCCACGGGCACACAACTGAAAATGACTGAAACGTACAGTCTCCACCTCTCGATTACCCTCCGGTTTCTGCACCATGATATCATCAGAGCTGCAACGAACATGGTGCTGGTGAATCAAATTGAAATGATGGGAAACTGATGCAAAAGCTGGGTGGCTTTACAGCATGTGTGGAGCCATACGTAGATGATTGTAGATGCAGATGCAGGCCTTCAACATTTTTCAACCACTTGTCACGCTGAGGCGCTTCAGCTGACATCTCTTTTGGCTTCGGACGTTGCAAAGTGGCTGGGCTCGCTCAATGTGGCAGGTGCGGCGCCAGGCCGACATCATGCGCTCAGCATTGAGCTATATAAAGGCTATATAGATCTATATATGGCACTATAGGTCATAGTAGGTAATAGAACACATTATGAATACACACATGGTTTGCCCATTGCAATTTGAATGCAATTTGATTTACTTATATAATGATAGATACTATGAGATTATGTGAGACATTATCACGAAAGCTAGCGTCAGCTAGCTGGAGTCTTCTTGCTTTAGCAAGTATTCCGGGGGCTGCTCAAGGACATCACGTGATTTTTCACGCGAAAGGGGGGGACCCCCCCCTCCACCCCCCCACCACCACCACCACCACCACCAGCATCATCATCATCATCATCATCGTCCTCGTCCTCGTCATCGTCATTGTCGTCGTCATCATCATCATCATCATCATCATCATCGTTATTCAATTACATTTTATCATTATTGGCAATTATTGGCATTATCACGACAGCTAGCGTCAGCTCGCTAGAGTCTTCTTGCTTTAGCAAGTATTCCGGGGCTCCCCAAGGACATCACAGGGCCCCCCCCTGCCCCCTCCCCCATATATATCATATATATCATTGTTATATATCATATATCATATATCATTGTTGCATCCTCGTTGGGACGAACAAATGCCGCGACACGATGATGACAGTCCCTCCGCAACTCACCTCTTCCCTTCCTTCTTTCTCCTACCCCGCTAGCTTTCGTCATCCACCCCCGGCCTCAAGTGAGTATATCAGTATATCATATAATAAATATAATATGATCAATAACATTTGATAAGGTTAATTTATACCAATGAGCTTGAGCAATGCCAAGAGGCAGCCCCAATCACCTGACTCCAGATGTTGCCAGCACCACGCCAAAATCGCTGTGGAGATCTGTGGAGGCTTCGAGCTATTGGCCGATGGTGCACGCTACCTCTTCAGTGTTGCTCCGGAAGAGGCCAGGCATGGCCAGGCTGCATTGCAATAAAAATTATACAAAGATTTACAAGAATTCATAAAGCAGCCAAACTGAGGAAGCTGTTTCGCTGACCTCAGATCTCCAAATAGGGCACTAAGGAGCTGAACAATTAGATTCTGCAGTTTCTCCCTATGCATTTGCTCCACTCACGCCATTGGTCTGCCCATCTTGGCCTTCTGCTATGAGAAGCGTTGAATCTCTAAGATGGCACATGTCTGGTTGGAGGCCAGGGCCTGGATTGAGCGGCTGAACACAGATGCCCAACGCAGAGGTTGGACTTCGGGACAGGAGCGGATCAAGTTTGAATGGACACGATTCGACGATTCGCCATTAACGACTTTTGACATGCCATCATAATTTGCGTTTCCCTTTGGCGCCTTCACCAGGTTTTTTCCACAGCTGATTTCCCAAATTTCCCCTGATCGCCGTGATCGCCATGTCCAGCAATTTAATTCGAGGTTAATTACTTCCCAGCACCAAATTCAAGTCCTTGTTTTGATGGACAGGTGCAGGTTGGCTGGTCATGGCGGATGTCAACAGCACCGTCCGAGCAGAGCATGTTTGGGCAGTGGTGCAGGAGGGGGCGACTCTGCGATATCCCAAGGTTTTTGGGATCCACGAATCCACGGTTGTCTCCTCCTGGCTTGTGAAGTCATTGTCTCCAGGATATCCACTATGTAGATTTTTCTTAAATACCTGGGCATTCGGAAAGCATTTGCTCCTCTGGTCTTCTGAATGGGGTATGGGCTGAGCATGGCTATGAGCTAGGCTTTCAAATGCTTTCAACCAAGCCATGCAACTGACCAGGACGACGTTAAGCAGCTTCACTGCTTTGAATCACCTCTGGACTACGTGATGCAGAACCCCTCCAGGACTTGCAGCGGGTTAAGTGTCATAGGATTGCTTTGCCCAGGGCTGATGTAGACGATGTAGGCTCATTGGAGGATGAGGACGGTTTAACGTTGCCAAACGGAAGTTGCTTTGCAACTGCCAGTAGCAACACCTCGAAAACCCGCCGTACAAAGACAAAGACTGTAATTTTCTGTATGCCTAACATTGTCTAACTCTTTACATTGACATTCTTTATCCAGAGCCCCTCGGAGCCTCAGGATCACTTTCTTCCTTCACCACAATGCTTTAAGTATTGTGGATGACAGCCATCCTTTGTCGCCTGAGTTGAGCTCTGCTTTCCACAGGTCTTTGGGTTCATTGGACACCGCTGGAATCATGGAAGAAATGGAACCATGTCCATGCGACAGCTAGCCGATTAAAGTGTTTGCTCTCTGACTGGTACTACTGTTTGTGATTGTATTGTGTATTTGGCACTGTTTGGCACTGTTTGGTGAAAACCTGCGGGGATATGATCCTCAACACTCTGTAAGAAACCAAGGGCGCACTAGTAGTGTACTACATTGAGCATGAAAACACCGGTATCTCACATTAGAATACTAATTATATAATTATTATAGACTTTTTTCGCATATGCCTCCAATATCTCCAAATATCTCCAAATCATCCACTTAACAATACAATGATTGCGGATGACGTGTGGCTCTGGGATATTTGCAGAAAGTTTAGGGTCATCAGTGAATGAGCTGGCAAGCGTTTCATATCGTTTCTTCCTCTGGGTGAATCGAAAGAAATTACTTTGTTGTGGTAAACTCTTCCAGTTTTGCTGTTTGATCTGTTTGACTCAAGTTTGCTTTGCGCGCTCCATCGCCAGGTTGCAAAAAGAGTCTGCCACTGTCGCCTTTGTCGTGAAGGATCTAGTGCTCAAATGTTTTGAGAAGCTTCACCTGCCTGTGATCCATGTCGTTTTTTTGTCCTCTCCATCGGTAGAGTGGGTAGAAGATGGGCAGCTTGGGTCGCGCCAAAATCCTGCAGGAGGAGCTGGAAGTTCGGATCTCCATGGGCGGCCCCGAGGGCAGAGCCAACTTCGCAGCATTTGGATGTTCAGCTCCAGTCCTAAGGCCCTTCCAATTCCCACAAGACCACGGCCAAGCCACATAAGTACACATAAGTTATTACGTAAGCATTACATGAGCCACATTTCCAAATACCAAAATGCTTCGAGCGGATTTGATTTTGAGATAATGAAGCAAAACCATGTGCACCAGGGTGTTGTTAACAGATGGCGGCAGCGAAGGTTTGATTATGTTTGATTCTTCTGAACCGTGGTAGCGCTTTCCCTGGAGCCAAGAGGAACCGCTTTGAATTTATCGGGATTGCATAATTTTCAGACAACAAAAAACACCAAATCCCTCTGAACCGTCTCTTCACTGGGATTACATTCCATGATATTCCACACTCCTAGTAGCTAGAGATAAGATGTATCAGGCAGTGGTTGGAGAAGTTGCAGACCATGGCTAGGGCAGGGCACTTGCGCAAGAGCTATGGTGGTGCATTGGACTTTGAGGTCCCCTGCTGCAGTGACACTCAAATGAAAGAAATTGCCATGAATGACCAGCTTCCAACATGATTTATTGAATTTTATTGATATATATATATATATTTGACATTGATACATTTTCTGTTATGTTTGCCGGCAGCCTAGGCTCCGCGGCTCTCATGGATGGAGCAGGACGCTGGGACTGAAAGGTAATCTGGGTGTGGGTGATGAGTTTAGGCTTTTGTAAAGTTTGCCTGTTTGCCACTTTTTCCTCCGATTCATTGATATCACCAACATGTTGGTGTGAGTTAAACTGATTTTCGCAGGTAAATCGGTAATTCTTGTATGTTCTGGTATGCAATTGTTTTCCCCGGTAACCTCCTCAGTGGCAATACGTGTGATCTTCAATCATTGATTAACATGAATAACAAGGACTAACAAGGTTTCAGGTTGTTGCAAGTATGGCTGGTGATGTGTTTGAAAGGCCCAAAATTTTTTTGGTCGAACAGGGCCTGTTTATGCCTGTTTGTATTGAATTGTCACCTTTTTTCCAGGTCACTTTTTCTTCAAGTCTTTTGCTGACGACCGGACCGTGAGCTTGCATTTCCACGGGCTCCAAGTCACAGTGATTTATTGTAGTTTTGCTGCCCGCTCTAGGAGAGTGGTGGGGGTGACAGTCGTGAAGGTTTGGGAGATCTCTCGCCGCTATCTCCGAAGAGTGAAGGCAGGAACTTATTTGCCATCACTCTTTTCGATGTGATTCAAGCAGATCTGTGAAATTGCCGATAGCTACCTTACCGAGTTTTGATGATTCTTGTTACAAGGGGTTGCTTGTAGGCTGGCTTGCCAGTAAGCATTATACTTTCAAAGCTTACGGGCTCATGCAAACACAGAGGGAATTCAAGACGGGCATATGCCCTTTTGGAAAAATTGGAAAGCACAACGCAGCCTGAACTCATCTGAACTCCAATCTCTCAATATCTCTCAATATCTCTCAATGCTCAAAAGTATCAAAAGTATTCAAAAGTCAGTTTACTTTGCACCAGGTGGTGCACTCCGTTGTGAGTCCGAGCAGGTGCGCCTGACGGTTGTGTAAGACACGTTCGATACTGAGCCATGATATGCCATGATTTTTGAAAATTTTTGATATGCCTGATATGCTCAAAATGTCAAATGATTGTGATTTACCCAGAAATCGTGGCGGTCTCATCTCGATGCTGGCGAAATTCTGTGTGACATTCAATATGTAATAGTAAGTCAATTTTTGTTGGAGGAAAATGACACAAAATACAGAGCCAAACCGCAGCTCCGAGCAGTTGCTACATTTAATGTTGCATCATGTGGCGTCAGTGTTTTTTGAGTGGGTTTGTTTAATTAATGCCCTAAGGCTTTGATGTTCATTCGTTCTGGACCAGGCTCATATCATTGATATTAATATGATATATGATATACCCCCTGCATGAGAAGATGTTCCCTCGCATAGGCTCCAGTGATCACCAGTGAAGCTCGCCGTTTTTCCTTTTTCTTTTGAGAGGGACGCCGCAAAGACCAAAACCTGCACGTTTCTTCCGTTGTTCCGTTCTCTACTTTGAAACTTTTGGGCCTGTGCATAGGACACTTGCCACTGACCACGATGCCTATGGTTATGTCATGTTATGTTCTGTTATGTTATGTTATTAACTTGAGTTATGTTATGTTATGTTATGTTATGTTGGTCTTTGTGTGTTGTTACAAGGCTTTTGCAACCCATTTCCACATTTTCCACGTAGATGCTTTCACCTTCAACTGACAGGACGATGATCCGTTCGTGCCCTGCTTGCAAATGAACAGAGACAGAGGACCCGTCGTAGGATCCCACTTGATTCGATGTGCTTGCAGAGGCGTTGACTGGACAAACAATGGAGTGGCCCTGCCACAAGACATGTCCACCCATTTTTGTTCCAGTGGATCTACCATCATGTGACCGGATTAGCAACGTCCTGGGCTGTTACATGACGGGCACTTAGAAAAAACTGATTTGTCAAAATGATTGGCAATTACGTCCCAAGTTTTGTTGGTACCGTTTGTAGACTGGGTTTGACACTATTTGACACTAGGACCTTAGGTATGCACTGTGGTTTCACTCGTTCTGTTGCTTGGACTACAGCTTGGAAATGGTTCCAGCAGTGCCTCGGCCGGCTGAGGCTATTTGGGCCAGGCTTCGGCCTAGCTTCTGTGCAGAAATGCAGAAGGCGACATTTGAATTTTGAGTTGGTTGGAATCCATTATATTTTTTCATATTATTTCATTTATTTCCAATATTTTTCAAGTTCTAGCCTTGAACACGTCAGATCTTCTACAGTGATTGCCTTTTGTTCATCGTGTTTTCCTTTGAGCATGGCTGTGACCATAAGTACGTGACCAAGCGCTCAGACTGAGCAGACACAACATGCAAGACATACTGTACAGATCTGTACAGTGTTTGCCAAACATTCAGTTGGTTTCAGTTGCCAAGTTTGCCAAACGGGCCAAACAGTCCAACTCTGCCCCTTTCATAGTCAAACAGTCTCATCAAGGCAGTTGAGTCAGCTGAACAACGGGAAGCCATGCAGATGAACAAACAAAGGTGCTCTCCGCATGTATTTCGCATGCAGAGGTTTGACACAGGAAAACCAGGAAAATATTCTTTGTGTGCTGGTGTGGCCGTACCAACTGGACTTAGTTTGCCACGCCACTGAATTCCAGTCACTTTTATGTGGGTCGCTGGTTGGTGCGACATGCTGGCAGTGTGTGTGTGTGTGGTTGGAGGGTTCTGAAGTTTGTGGGGGCATCCAGACCAGCTGACAGCAAAAAAGACCTATTAGCGTGTGCTGGCCAGCCTTGAACTTTGGCTCAAAAACAATGGATAATGATGGACAGTGTCTAAAGTATAAAGATTAGAAGATTGGAGAGAGAGGCTCATGCTACAATGTCCCAGTCTGAAGGCTAAAATCCTTGAGTCAGTGTGAGCTTCTTGGCTTTTGCAGGAAAGACATGCTTTAATACAACTACGGTTCTTCTGATTTTTTTTGAAAATTGTAATCAATCATTAGATAAGTTTAATCAATTGATTTGAAGCCCTTGAACCGAGAACATCATATCAATTCAATACTTGCCCGTTCACTAAATGTGGGCCATCGCTTTGCCTTTGCAATGCATCGAGCTGCCAACTTTCTTTGGCCAACGCTTGTGATTGCTCTGAGAAGTGATGGGCCATGCAGCGAATGGTTTGACAACGCTTGGTTGAAGTCAGAAGGACCTGCCGGAATTTGTGTTATATATGTGAAAGCTCGTTTTGGAGTTATCGCATTCTAGATGCATGTTTCAAGGGTCCTGGGCTTCACGGTGCATAATTTTTTAATATTTAAAACGGCCACAGTCTGCAGGCTTCAGCGCTGATGTGTGCTGCTGGGGCAATCACTCGGCATGTTGGCATGGCACAGATTTCAGTTACGAAAACTGCTGCAGCGACTTCAATGTTCAGGATTTGCGGGAAGGTCTTGCTGCTCTTGGAGACTTTGGCACTGCCTGAGTGAAGCCTGAGTGAATGCCCGCAAATCACTGGTTTTTACTTTGAGAAATTATCAAGATTTAATCAACGCACTGAATTATCGGGCTAGACAACTCCATTGCCTCCAGAATCAAGGCTCTCGGTATGGTTTTGCGTTAATAAAGTTCAACAAAGGTTCATTTGTTAGTTGATTTCTATTGATTTCTGATATTCCTGCAGGGTTTCCAGAAACCCAGGACATCAAGAGCTAGATGATGCCGTCCTGGCAGAGGCAGCGCTGCCTCTCAGCCGCCCAGGGGATGATTTTGCCATCCGAGCTGAAGAAATTGGACAGCCTGGACAGCTGAGGTCCCTGACTTCGCCCTCGAGTTTCTTCCAGCAAGTGGCACCCGCTGCGGCGAAGGTGCTGAAACGGAGTGGCTCAATGGAGCAAATGGAAGAATTGGAAGGTGTGGTGCTGTTTATAATGACCGCACCTGGGAATTTCGCAAGGAGAGAAGCGATCAGAAAGACCTGGCTGCAGATGCTGGCTTGGCCGGGGACAGAGACAGTGAGGTACATATTCGTAATGTGTGCCCCTGATAATATGACCATGTCTCGTGTGGAGCAGTTGCATGCACAGCTCCGGAAAGAGCAGCAGCACTTCCAAGATTTGTTAATTTTGCCATGGCTGGAAGATGTTTATTGGGGTTGGCAGCACGCTGCGAAGACGTTCCTTGCGCTGTTGGCTGTTCTCGAGCGACAACCCTTCGCAAAACATTTTGCTTGTTTGCATGATGACGTTTATGTAAACCTTCAGAAGCTGGTGGAGATACTGAAGGCGCCTTACAACGATGGCCTATATTTGGGAAATGCCTATGCTGGACATGAGTTTGTGGGCCACCGTAGGGATGATGCTACAGAGTACCAAATCATGCATGGACATCTCAAGATGCCCATTGTTATGAAAGGAGGCCTGTGGGTCGTGGACAATGCTTTGGCCCAATGGGTGGTTGCTTCAATGAGCAGTGCTACAGCCAAAGTCCCGTGGCGTCTCTGGCCATCTGATGATGACACTGTGGGATTGGTTTTTGGCGAACTGGACATTCAGCGACCTCACAGCTTGCGGCACGGCATTGAGTAGCTGAGCTGGCAAATGAACATGGTTGTTCAGTGTTTTCCAAGAAGTGTTCTCAACATTTCTCAATTCTATGATTATCTAATATTATCTATATATATATCATTGATCATGATTAGTTCCAGAGATTTCTATAGCGTAGGCCGGCATTGAATGACATGCAGCATACGTGACGATAGTTTACGCAATTCTGAGGTGGTTTGATTGGCGCCTTCAGGACCGTTGTGATGGAGATCATCTTGTCGTAGCGCACGACCTGAAAACCCCGCGAGAGCTCTGGGATTTTTGGGCCCGGCAGTTGGTTTACGGCAACAGTTGCCATGGCCAACAGGGTGGACAAGTCCGAAACAGCTCTAGACCAGAAGACTTTTTGCTTGGTACCGTCACTTGAGAGCTGGGGGTACTGCTGCAATCTGCAACAGAAGCAGCAAAATGCATCGGTGGCGGGTAGTGGCAAGACCGGATTAAGAACCCATCCTAAAGGGATTGAATAAACGCCCCAGACAAAAAAAAACAATCGACTCATTGATGAGGAACGAGATCTTGATTCTAATGGAAACAGCTGACAAGTAGCATCCATGACGGGTCAATAGGGAAGGGTCACTCGGCAACCCTGGAATCTGTAACCTCACTTTAGAATAAAAGGGAATATATAATGCTAATTAGATTAGTACCACTAAAAATCCGGGGGTCAGAGAGAGTATTTACAATACGAGGAGTCGCACCACTGTTGGGGGGAGAAACCACCTAATTTTGTTGGGTGCCAAGGGTTATTGCATAATAGGGTGGTATTATTAACGTTGTTGATGCACACTTTACATTATTGACCAAGTGAAGACTTTGCTATATAACATGTCCCTTTGCTTCGTCAGCTGAAAGCCAATTTCTGGCACACCTGATTGGTCAGGGCTCTCGCTCTTCCTCTCTCTTTTTTGTGTGTGCTGTGTCGACTTCGTTGCCTCATATTGGTACGTCATGGCACCAATTCTGCCAGGGTGGAGACGGTGAAAGACTCTTGGCAAACTTTCGGGTGAGTTCCTTGAAGTTGGAATACGGTGGCGTGGAGAATGCTAGCACATCATTGCACATGAGTTGTGAGACCAATTGTCAGCAGCACTACTCCAAGTGTACAAACTTTCAAACTGAACTTGCATAATTAGTTCATGTAAAATATAGTAATCATGAGTTACATGCGCAATTTTGTTACGAAAACGCCCACATGTGCGACATGTGTCAAAACATTGCTTGCAATCTTTCATGCTTGCTTCAAGAAGCTTCAGCTAGGTTTCCATTGAACCGTAGTGCAAGTGGTTGGTTCGCGTTTAATCGCTTCTCCTTAAGAAGCCATTAGAGTGTCACTATCAAACTGCTTTCAGGATTGTGATTTGGAGGACTCATCTGAGGAGCAGCATGATTTCCCTCCGTGTTGAAAGACAAAGTGGGGAACACCGCTCAAACTGGTACTGCCAACAGAATCCTATTTTCCCCTGAACCTGAGACAACATGAGTCTGTATTTGGTGATCAGAAGTTCAGGTCATACAAGTAGTGACTCAGGTGGGCCCACCAGAGTGTTGCTATTTTGTTTGATTGTCATATGGCTCACACTTATTCCAGGAGGAGGCAGCTGCTGCAGATACTTGGCAGCTGAATTCAGACTCTGCGCCGTGGTGTCATGATTGTCTCGTTCCGGATGCTACAGCATTTTCTTATTGTCATCCAACGTCATCCATACTTCTTGTCCGGACATAGAAAGCACGCTGTTATTTATGTGCTCTTGTACTTTCTGCATCTTTCTCCGTTTTATGCCAGTTTGTGCGCTTGCTGTGGTCTGTAGAGTTTGAACGTCAACCCCATATACTTTTTTTTGAGTGGCATTCATGGTTGGTAACTGCTTTGGCTCTGAGGACACGAACGAAAATAGCGGCTCCGATTCGACCGAGGCTGAAGAAGGCTTGGGTAGGGTGTGATCGGCGTGGATCGCAAGGAGCTGGGAGACGAGCCATCGTAAATGTGTTGTACTAGCCTTCTTTAGGCATCCACTCAAAGGTGTGGGATCCTGATCCCTATCCTTATCATTTATACATATTTATACGGATTATACGGTTTCTACTTTCAAGGGGGTCCTGAATCCTATGTCACTTCCATGTTCCCCCAAAGGGTACAGACACAGCCCAACCAGTCTAGAGTCTAGAGGCTGACGTGTTGCACATTGCATCATAGGTGGCAACAGAACATAACTTATAAAATGAATTACGCAAGTGAAAATGCACGAACGTGCGTATGAATCTTATAGCCTGTATGCAAAACATGTTTTGAGTTTCAAAGGCTTTGGGCATTTTGTATTTTCAAATCCGGGCGGGGTCAACCGGCAAGCTGCGTCAGATGTACCTTTGGAGCGCTTGAAGCGGCTGGAGAAGCGCTTGAAATACCACAGACATGGCCTGCGAAAGGCAGATGGTGCAAATTAAATGCGGATGTCCATAAATTGGGTCCATTGGTCTGTTTGGTTGGCCACACTGACAAAATTTCCATGACACCAGGCTTTGAGAGAAGGAGCACCTTGGAAGCAGTCAAAACAGGCGGAAACACATGATGAATTGGCAATAGTAAAGAACTGAAAGCCCTGTGGTGCCTATGCTGCTGCCAAGGAGAGGGATGCGGCTGAAATCCTCTCTTACTTCGGTGAGCCTCCAGCACCACGGTTGAGGGGTTCTTTAGCTTCATTGCAGGAGGGGAGCTTTGGGTGAGCAATGGAGCAATGGCTTTTGCAGCAGTATGGCTTTGGCCTGTATTCATTCTTAAATGTTTTCCCATATCATGGGGGCACCCACCATCTATGGCTTTTCGCATTGGCAGGAATTCCTAGTAAACGTCAACACCTTTGCCAAGCACTTTGCATGTGCTGTGCGTGAGGCTGAATAGAAGATCGCATTAGACAGTTCAGGGATGGTGCCACAGACTACAACCTGAAATATCCAGCCAATGTTTGTTGATTCAAGAGGGTCGGAGGAACAGGTCGTCAGAAAAAATGTTGACTTGTTGAGCTGCTCTCGAAAGAGCTACAAGAGGAGCCGAGCCGAGAGGAGCCACACACACACGCACACACGCACACATATATGATATAAATTGATATGATATAATATATATATAATTATATATATATATATATTATATAATATTATTACGTGGAACCTTTTTCAGATATTTGATTTCCGTTACCACAGGTGCGCGCTCATCATCAGCGTCAGCGGAGCGACTCTCTTGCTCGGCGCATGGGGCAGGACCATCAAATTGCTCGGAGATATATATTATATATAATTATAATATTATATGATATGTGTATATTCTCAAACCAGCTCTGCCACCACAGCACCAGTACTGGGCAACAACATGCACATGCTCAATGTAAAGGTGATGCTGATGCAATGATAGTTGGACTTTTAAATACTTTTAATCATATAATATAATACTACATGTGCATACATGTGCATACTAGCTTAGATTATTTTAGGTTTGATTTGGTATTTATATATATATATATTATTTCCAAGTATGATTCAATATTACTTCCTTGATTTCTTTGGCTGTGCGACTCTGGCTTGCATAGCTGACCACCTTTATTTGCAGCTGGGGCTGTCTGTCACATAGAATCGAATCCATGATCGGCGTTGAAGCTTGTTGAACAGGGAAAACCTTCCAGTGCGTTTTTTCATTGCGCATTTGAGTGCGAAACGGACTGGTGATTCATGTCATGGCTTCTGCACGTGGCTGCTGCACGTGGCTGCTGCACGTGTTTGCAGGACACTTCGAGGCCAGTTTCAGTTTATGGCTGCATTCTCTTTTGGACGTCAACATTCCCTAAAACTAGACGGGGTTTGATGGCAGCAGTTGTGCAAGCGTGTCCCTCGTTGCATTCCAGACCCAGGCGGTTCGCACGCAGCAGCAGCACTGGTGCTATTGGTCGTACTGAAACTGCTGCTCCAAGTGGGCAGCCGCGGCGACTGCGGCGCACCAAGACGCGTGTCTGGTTTCAATTTGTGATCTGTTTTGAATTGTTTATTTATATTGTTTATTATTGTTTATTATAATTAATTATGTGTCATTTTTTTGATATATATTATATACACTGGGTAATTGGTTTGCTCCCGAAAACACTCCTGACTTGCAAATGAGTCGAAGAGATCGCCTGGCAGAATTTGCAATTGCAAATTGCAATTGCCATTCCATGGGCTATAAATTGTGCACAACGCCCCGGAAGGATTCCCTCTTTCCCACCAAATTGACCGGCGAAGACACTCTTGGGATCCATTGGGGTGTTCTCCTTGATATATTCCGATACAGACAAATGCCATTAAAGGGGCCCACAGATCGTTGCCTCTATTAGCCAAGATTAGCCAAGCCTGACTTGGAAGTTAAATACCAGTAGTACCGCACAAGGCGGTGGCGGAAGTTTCAGAATAGGAAACCTATAGGAGACGTTGGTTGTGTGAATCACGGATGGCAGAGCGAATCCACTGATTGACCGAAAGGTGGTTGGAGTTGTGTTTGCTGGAGTGGTTGCAATGGTTGCAGTGGTCACCTCACCCACAACTGCTGGATGTAGTGTGATGTACTGCAACTGTAGTTGTAGTTGTAGCGTAGTGGAGTTGTAGTTGTGGTGTAATGTAATTAGTGTAGTGTAGTTGCAGTCATATAGTTGTAGCTGTAGTTGTTTTGTAGTTGTAGTTGTTGTGTAGTTGTAGTTGTAGTTGTAGTTGTTGTAGTTGTAGCTGTAGTTGTTGTGTAGTTGTAGTTGTTGTATGTTGTTGTGTAGTGTAGTTGTAGTTGTTGTGTAGTGTAGTTGTAGTTGTTGTGTAGTGTAGTTGTAGTTGTAGTTGTAGTTGTTTTTTTAGTTGTTGTTGTTGTTGTTGCTGTTGTTGTAGTTGTTGTTGTCGTCGAAGTTAGGGTAGTTAAGTTAGTGAAGTGAGTTAAGTTAGTCAAGTTAGTTAAGTTAATCACTATCTACTTTTTCGACATCTTAATGTCAAAAAAGGCTCAAAACCCGCAGTTTTTGACACTTTTGACTTGGAAATGTGCTTCGCGCCACAGCAGCGTGCACTTTTTCGACATCGCAACTTCCAAAAGTGGTCCGAGCATGGTGTGTTTTGTACATTTTGACTTGGAAGTGTGCTTCGCGCCACAACGGCGTGCACTTTTTCGACATCGCAACTTCCAAAAGTGGTCCGAACCCCTGGTGTTTTGTACATTTTGACTTGGAAATGTGCTTCGTGCTACAACGGCGCGCAATTATTCATCTCTCATCTGGCCAGCTCGCTCCGCACCCGCCGCTTTAGCGAGCCTACTTTTCGACCCTCCGGAGCCAGTGTTTCGCGACGTTCCTACCTTTTCGCGCACCTGCATCTTCTTTCTTCTGATCTTTTCTCTTCTGACTCTTCTCACCTCTGCTTTTCAACTGTCCATATTGTCGGAAGTTTCACTTCTAAACTTCCTTCGATGATATTCATTGATATTCATTGAAATTCTATGAAATTCTAAAATCAAATGAGACAAAACAGCTGGCGATTTGCAAGTTGACTCCAAGGCCTCGACAATCAAGCTGAGCGCCCAGTGTTGTTGGCAAACGATATCAAAGCGCAGCTCTTAGCTCCAGGCGCGGCTTAAAACAATCTGAAATAGCTTGAAACATGCACGGAGACACGACGCAAAAAAGATGCGAAAAGTGTGTGTGTGTCATGTATATACATAGTTTCCCTATATTGATAATATATTCATATAATACAATATCATATCATTGCATCGACAGTATGTCTTCCATTTTGTCATATCATAGTATATATATATATAGATGTATATAGCGTATAGCTATCAAATATTAGGGTTTTATTTCAATTGTTTTCGACTCACCTGCAGGACAAGGGTACAGATACAATTTTGGGCTGAGCCGATTTCTCATTGTTTGCATGTGACAATAGTATTGCTTTGAGTGAGACCCTTGTGTGTGTGTACAGGCGATGCCACAGATATTGCATACAGGTCATCCACAACCCATTTGGCCGTTGCTGAATCTTTGACGTTTGCTGTCAGGGTCGATCGATCCCTTCAAGCGAGGACGCAGCACGAAACCGATTCCAGCCGGCACTGCTGTGCGCGATGTGCCTGGCTGGGACTGATGTTTTGCCTGGCGGAAACCATTTGAAAACGTTGGAGCAAGCTGCTGAGGGTGTCCCTGAAAATGATCAAACATGATCAAAATGGTTGTTTTCACAGAAGGTTTGGCACACTGTCTAGCGTACCAACTTGCTCGAACTGCGTGGAATTCACATCTCAGGCCAAAGGCCAGATTTAGTGGCGGCATTTAGGGAAGCGATGGAACAACAACTCCGAGACAATGTAGCTCCTGGAAACATTTGGATGCTCCTTATTCCTATTTATTCCTCTATATGGATCTATATCGCATGTTCCAGCATTTGGTAAAATTATCTCTTTTTTGTGCGCTTTCATGGTGTTGCCCGACCATTTTGGCTTGGGAATGGTTCCAGCATGTTCCAGCAATAAGATAACGCAGCTTCACAACGGCTTGCCTTGGTGAAATCACATGTGGTTGTGATATGTTGTGATCATGTTAAATTGGTGCATGGATACATATGCATGCGATCACATGCGTGTATGTGCGGACGCATGCTTATACAATGTCATGGGAGAAACGGCAGCTTCACAATTGCCAACGCTTGATGTATGGCCAAAATCCTTCAACTATGTGTATAGTGTATAGTATAGGTTGATATAGGTTGAACATGGCTGAACTGGGGTTTTCACAGTCTTGGAAAAGGGACACGGACAAGGACCGGCAGTTCCACTAGGTTGTTGGGCAAAAGATCAAATAATTCCTGCAATTCCGGTTGATTAGGATGCGTATGATGTGTTGTAAAGCAAGTTCAGCAGATATTTATCAATCTTTCGAGTAAGAAGAGCATTCCGGGAAGTGTGTAAGGAGAGGCATTAATAATATGGTTTTATGCATGTTTGGCTGATTTTGATGAATTTTACATGGATCAAACATGTATACAGTATCTTCCAAATATATTTGGGATGGCAATGCCAATTGACCAAGATTTACTTGCTGGGCATAGGGCGAAACCACAAACCAGATTCCGTATCAGCCAAGATTCCTTGCTGGGCATGGTTATGTTATGTTCCGTTCATTTCCCTTGTTGCCTTTGGGCATGGGTCGCCAAGCTTGGAACATCTTGGAACGATGCTTGAGAGCGACTTGTGCTGCAAGTGTCGGAACAGTTGCAGTGAGGAAAGAGTGAACAGATGTGAACAGGTTTTCTTGATGGTATTTGAATATGGTTGAATGCATTTGACATATTTGATGCGCAGGCCAGGCATGGTCAGGCATGAAGGTTTGAAGTGATCAGCACAAACACTATCAAACACTTGCTTCTGCCTATGACTTGGACAGACTATATATAGTTTCTGCATGGTTTCTGCAATGCTGCTTTTGTGTGGAATTATAGGCAGATTCTTCTAATTCCGTTTTAAACTTGTTGCATCTTGTTATAACAGCAACCAAAGCATTCGCTTTATCGAAAAAATGTTGTAAATAGTTGACCCTGAGCTCTGACAATGGTTGTGTTCTTTTGAATTGTAAATAGGTGCATATGCTGTCAAGTGTCACTGAAGAAAATATCTGAGCCCATCCATGCGCATATATGTGAAAAAATGTTGTATCAAAGTTTCTAATGAAATGCGGGGACCAATTCTTTTTCCTTTCATTTCCTCTTCTCAGAGATCGCTTGTGAAAATCAGAACATCATACTGTTGTTGTCATACTGCAGGAGATGGAGGAAGTAAAGGAGGAAGAGGAGGCACTTCGCAAGTGACATTGGGAACCAATAGGTTCCTAGCAGCACCAACAATTCAGACCTCCAGCCTGCAGAGATGCACAGCTTGCCCAGATTGCCCACATCATTGCGTTGGACATTTCCCTCGATCCTCCACGGAACCTTTAATGGCACCGTATCAGGCCGACACTGCCAGAGAGAACCCACCAGAGGCGCGGGAAGCCGGTTGCAACTAAACATCTTACGTTGACTGCACGTAGGTAAGTCGTTGTGGGAGATTCTGGACGTTGAATTTGCAGGAAAGCGTTCACAGGGACACGGACAAAGAAGAAGAGGCCGGACTTTCATTTTAATTATATAAAGATTCCCAGAACCATCACGTCAGGCTGGTGCCATGCGTGTGAAACACGTAAGAACAATAGATACAGATAGTTGCAATAGAAATAAAGAACATAAGATGTTCAAGCCGTGTTAGTAGAGAAAAAAAAATCGCTTAGCCAAGGCTCAGAAACCTGCGTGGCCAAGCCTTTTTTCAGCTCAGCAGGAAAAGGATGAGATGGATGCTTTCTTGGATGACATTAAGGATGTGGAAGACGAGGCCGACGTAGCCGTTCCGCAACCTTTCTGGAAGCAAGATAGCTGGAAACATGTTGGACCGTTGACCTGATTCAGGCAAGAGGACCTGATAGAACATGAAAGAGATGAATCCAGCATGATGAAATGGGAGAATGCAGAATCAATGAATATCAATGATATGAATTTCCGTGGACAATTGTATGACAAGATGACATGGATGGTGATCATAGTTATGATTCATGATATAATGAGAAGTAGTAGTTACGGGTTACGTGTGTTTTGGACGTCAAAGGGTTGAACACGAGTAAATGCCTCACCATGTCCAACTGAGATTGAAGGAGGGGCTTTGAGCATTTGCTTCGCTTCACTGGAACCGCCAGCCATAATGCTTGCTACGACTGTTGGTGACATATATATATATATATAGGTATACGTAATTATATGTAATTTACAAGTATATATATATATATTATGTTTGTTTTGTCATACATGGTCAGATTATTCTTGTAGCACATTGTACCATGCCCTGCAGTCTTGGATGAGGCAGTTGAGGATATGGAGGGGAGTGTTGCTGAAACGACCACAGAAATCAAGGACAAGAAAGAAGACAATGAGGCCCTTGATTTCTTTGGAACGCTGAAGCAGCGCGACAGGAGTGGTTTACGGGGATGCAACTAGATAGAAACATGCACTGAACTTGGGGCACCGATGACATCATGCATAAAGACTTATGTTGCTTGCTGCCTGTTGAAGATGTTGAACCTCACAGGATGTCGTGCTAAAAATGCTTGGATTAGATGCATATTGTACCAACATACCCCGTTCCTTCTGGCAGTGGTTTGCTGTTTTTGGTTTGGTTTTGACCTGAGTGTAGGCAGAAGAATCGGCGAAGGAGTCGGAGAAGGCTTTCTGCCTTGACTTGTTTGTTCATGTTTGTTCGACCTTTCTTCCCCCGGATTGCACATATTCCAGCGATTGATGTTCGCGGCAGATTTGCAGGCCAATGCAACAGAAGATGACAAGGTACAACAAGAACAACAAGAAAATACAGAGGACGCTCTGGACTGCAACCTGTTTAGACTAAGTTTAGACTTTAAATGACTTTAGCAGCTGTTGCATTTGAGGGATTTGAGAATGACAATGAATGACATGTCGGAAACTGCGAGATATAGGCTGAATTTGAAAGTGCCCTGAACCGGCTGAATCTTTGTCCCAGGAGACCACTCAAGTCAAGGCTGTGGCTGGTGAAGATGAGGAGTTTGGCATGGACATATAGAAATAGAGCGGAATGAGCCATTGGTATTTATATATTGGATTTTATTGGTAGGTTTTGACACGTTTTGATCATTCAACAAATGTGTATATACATTTAAGATCATTTAAGAACATACATACATACATATATATAGATATATATACATACACACAAATATATATATATATATATACATATATTGAACACCATCAACACATATCAATACAAATCACATGATATGTGTGGCAACTATTGACACGTCAATTGGTTTTCGATGTTTTCGATTGTTTTTAGTCCTAGCCACGGCTAAGTTTGGAGGCCTGCAGTCTGAACATGTTTCTAAAGCCCGCGAAGCATTGAAGCATTCACGATCAAACCCTCTGTTGAAGGATGTCAAAACTCTGAATATCCGAACACCCTTTCTTTTCAAACAAAATAACACGCCTTGGAAGCATGAACATTATTTGAGTAGCCTTGTCCTGCATTGGCAGTGCTGCGTTTGCAAAGATACGAGATTATCTGAGTGATGTATATATATATATAGATTGTGATAGTTACAAGCCATACCACCAGTGCAACAGAAGACATAGATTAACTTGGCTTGAAGAACATCCGCATTGCGTTGCAATCCTTTGCGTAGTTTGATGGGTGCACAAAGATCACCGGCATCCTACTTCACCAAAAGGGTATGTGGTGAGCGCAGGACATGGCTGCCTTCTTAAGTTGTCTTGGGGACTCTGAGGATGCCAAGGAGGGAGACTCTGCAGCTTCAAACCAACACGATCGCAAGCTTAATCCTTGCCCATCTTGATCCAACAACAAAAGCTATGTCCAAGGCACTATTTGCATCTATTTGCACTATAGGTATAGGATAGTATGGTACAGGTTACAAGTTGACAATGCATGCCTGTACCACATTCCCTTCAGGATTTTTCCGTGAACCGACCAAATTTTGTCATTCGCCTGTCAGGAGGTAAAGCAGGAAGACATGGATGTCTCCTCTGAGGGAAAGGACGCAAGATGGGGATGCTATTATAGCATGATGCTATGGCGGTTATGGATCGTTATTGGATGTTGATTTCATTGATGTGCTGTCTTGATCTGTCTTCTAAAGGTGTGATGATGCAGCAAAACATAAGCATACCTAGCAAATTGTTCGGCATCCTTCACTATGCACACATACCAATCAACCTTTACCATGCATCTTTAGGCATGCTTTGCTTGGGTGTGTGTGTGTGTGTGAGGATGACTCCACCGCCATGTCAAGATCTGAGTTTAGGGCGAAGTCAAACGAAACCTGCACAATGTTGGCAAACAACATTGAACGCAATCAATGATATTCCAACATCTAAACTTTGAGTGTGAAAGTTCTTGCACGTATATTTGGCATTCTTGGCTACCTGGTCTTACCGAGGTCCACGGAAGGAACTCCTAGAGCAGTGACAGAGGGAAGTACTGAGGAGATGTCAAGCTTAACATGTTGCAGAGGGAC